AAGCAGTAAACTTGCAGTTTCTCCCGCCAAACACAACAGCAAAGTTGCAGCCGATGGACCAGGGTATCATAAAGTGCTTCAAACAGTCTTATCGTAAAAGGCTTGTCAGAAAAATGATCTTAAATATTGTAAGCATTTAGAAGATTTGTAATTAATAAGCATTAATTAAATAATCCGACAATATTTTGAAAGTCTAAAACCGAAACTAACGGTAAGTCGAACTTCCGATATGTCGAAGTTTTTCGTCAGTCCTATCAGATTCGAGTTATCGCGAATTCACTGTATAAAATATATTTTAAATTTCTTTACATAATTTTTTTTATCAAATATAAATTGCATATTAATTATCAAATGTTAATTATCAAACGTAAATAAAAAAGAAATAGTTTAACAATAATTTACAGAGGTAACAAAATAATATATTTTGAAACAATAGTAAGCTAAATCATTATGAGAATTTCATTGATAAAAATTCAATGACTTACAAACAAAAGAAAACTAACCTAGTTTAATATACAACATGTCTATTGGGAAATGTGTCCTTTGCTTCCTTATAGGAATAAGAAAGCAAAAGACAAGAATCTTATGGGTACTTGTGACTTTCTTATGGAAATAAGTAAAATAAAGAAAAAGCTACAAATTTGGGATCTTACTTGATTGTAAGATGTGGGTGTAATACTTTTTTATAAACAACTAATATTTTTAGATAAAGGCAACAGTCGGCTATTTCATAATTTAAGATTTATTCTTTTCCATGAAAATAATAGAAAATTAAGTGGTAATCTTGATTAATGACTCTTTTTGAGATGTATTTTGTATATTATAGATATTCTATAAGATATATTTTAACATATTCCTAATATTGAGCGTGTATAACCATTTACAACATCTCTGATAGCTAGCTTTACTCAAACCAGATTTAAGACAGTGAAAATTTATTGCAAGAATACTTACGTTTAAAACTGATCCAGGTTAAGGGCTTTAATATCGTTACCTCATCATTTAAAATTATACACATCAGTATTATTTCAAAAACAATTAGATGGAATTTAAAATTGCAATTTTAAGATATTTTAGAGACAGAATAATATAATAATAATAAATTCAATCTATGATTATCTGCTCATTTAAAATTATACACATCAGTATTATTTCAAAAACAAATAGATGGAATTTAAAATTGCAATTTTAAGATATTTTAGAAACAGAATAAAATAATAATAATAAAAACAATCTATGATTATCTCCTCATTTAAAATTATACACATTAATATTATTTTATAAACAAATAGAAGGAATTTAGAATTACAATTTTAAGATATTTTAGAGACAGAATGAAATAATAATAATAAAAACAATCTATGATTATCTCATACTCGCTAACCTATAACTTACAATTATTTGACAGCAAATATTGAAATGTTTAATGTAAATTTACGTAACTTATAAAAATAAAGACGATTTTTTAAAACATTTGTAAAAGATTAACAAACATTATAGTACAGAAATAAAACAGACAATCTTAGAGAAAACAATAGAATATTTATTTCTCTTACTTTGGTTTTTGTTTCAAAGGTTTTTCTACACATTTGCGTGCTATTTCTGCTGACTGACCAATGAACCATTTTTCAAAGTTTTTCGGAAAATTACACTCAATTAGTTCAACTCTGAAATATCAAATACAAATTCAAATCAGAAGATACTAAAAAATTTATTAATCAATAATAGAATGAATAAAATTCATGCATTTTTGATTTTTTTCTTTAATGGTAGATAAAAATAATGTAATTTCAAAACTATAAAAAGCTGATAACTTTTAAAAAGAAAATTATAAAATATTCAGACAGAATATTTAGAAATCATAACACTTAATTTTGAAAAGTCGTACTCATTGTTCATACTTTATAATATAATTTTAAACTTCATAAAAATTTTGATAGTTTTTTTTATCACTCTATTTGTATGTATAACTTCATAGTCAAAGCAGCATATGAAATTTTGAAAGAAAAAAAAAAGTACAATAATAGAAGATTTGTTTTGACAAATACATTTTTCCAAATAAGTAGCAATATAAGCGAAAACTTAGGAAAAGAAGCGTCTTAATGAGAGCCTAAAAAAGCCTCAAATTATATGTAAGTACATAATGTTATAGTCTACAATTTAAGCAACCTAAATTAAAATGTGTGTATATCATCTATCTATCTATCTATCTATCTATCTATATATATATANGGTTATAAGGGGTATATATATATATATATATATATATATATATACAGTAATCTGCTCAGACATTTCTTTTTTTATTTTTTATATGGTGGTTACGATCAGTAAAAGTTTTGTTTTGAAAATTAAAAATAAACACTCACTGAACTTGCTCATCAGGATAATGCTCAGGAACTATTGCTTTAACTTTTAAAAAGTAGAGGTCTTTTACAAGATGTAAATTCACAGAAGAGGTTTTCTGTTTCAACTTTAACTGGTCACAATCACTCAGTTCACGTTTAATGGATGATAATTCATCACTGCACACTGACAAGGGATTTTCATCCAAAAAGAGTTTCAAAAATTTTAGCAATTTAAGGATCTGAAATGATTTAAGGTTAAATTTGAAACAACTTTTTGATTAGTAATACAAAAAAGCATTATAATAAAATTTTAATGGAAAAATCGAAAACAATGTAAAAGAGTAGACAGCAATAAAATATTTTTTTGGGGATTTCTTAATTAGGATGATGCATTTAAAGTATAATTTAGAACAGAACCTCTTTTTGAGATTGGATTTCCAAAATGTGATATTGGTTCTTACAAAAGTCAAAATAAATAAGATATTTAAGAGAAATGAAGTCTGAAAAATTCAACTTTTTACTTTAATTAAACAAAAATTTCATTCAATTCATATTTGAAATAGTAAAATTTGAATTTATTATTTCTGAAATAGAAATGCATTTTTTATTGAGATGAATTTTTCCCGATTGTCTTAGGCAAAAAAATAATGTTTTGAGAAAATCACCCATATGTACATATATATATTTTAATGATGGGAACTGATCTATTAAGTTCTTCACAGTGGAAGATGCGAGAATTGTTGTACATTTAACATTACCCAGTGGTTTCCCGTGAATCACGGAAAGGAGCAACACTGCTCACGATACCCGTTCATAGGGTGGACTACACTCACACATCAGAGGAAAAACATAGAGAGAGATATCCATGCCCTTAAGTAGAATTTGAACCTGCAACTATTGACTTCACAGTCAGGCATCCTGACCACTTAGCCTCATGAGTGGCATATATAATACACATTTAGGTTCACCAACCACCCCGCTATCTACATAACAGGATAAAATTATAGATTTGTTAATATTTATATAATAATTTAGTGTTTTAGTTATAATAAAAGAATGGTTTAAGCCTTTGAGCTACTTTGAATAAAAGAATTAGAAAAGAGTAAAAGAATTCACAGGTGAGCAATTTCAATGTGTTTATATTTTATGTGTTTATTATTATATCTTTTTTAATTACAAATGTATATTTGGGCCTCTTCAACATATGCAACTGCATATGTGGAGCATGAATTGAATTGAATTGAATGTAGGGCTTAGTGGCACAAAGTCCAAAAGATGACATGCTGCGCCAAACAGTACAGTAAAACAGTTAAAAAGGCAAAGTACATGCACCACTTTATTTGTCATACAATTATAACTGATAAAATGGTATAAGTTTGTAAATGGTACAAGTTTGTAAATAAAATCAGGTAAAAGGCATGAATAAAATCAGATAAAAGGTGTGAATACGATATAAAATACATGAATAAAGTGTTTGCGAAAGTGAATAAAATTTCAAATGTATTAAAACATTTATATACAGTTAAAAATACCAACAGCACGTAAATATGCAAAAATGTTAGGATGATGAATATCATTTAACAAATCCTGCATACATAAAATGGAGCTCTCAAAAAACGTTAAACGAAGTTGGTTAAAACATGGACATGTTATTAAAATGTGATGAATCGAGAGAGGAACGTTACAGGTATTGCATAGAGGAGGGGACTCTCCAGACAGTAAGTGGAGGTGTGTTAACCGGGTATGACCAATTCGAAGACGTGTAAGCTTTACATCAGTACTAGCAGATGGCCTGATGTAAAGCTTAACCGGGCAGTACTGGCAAATGGCCGAAATCGGTTTTATGTGGAGCATGATCATGGCTGTAATAAAAGTGAGCTTTGAATTTAATATGACTACAATATATGTTTCTGGTAGGTGTTAAAATTGGTGCCCATAAAAAAGTACCAAAAATGGTTGGTGCTAAAAATTTTTTAAAAAAAACTGTTTCATTTCTTGCTTAACTTATAGCACTTAAAACTTACATAACACTATCTAGTTCATTTTCAAACAGAAATAAATAAATAAAAAATAAAAATAAGCTATTATTTAAAGTTATAATACATATTTTAGTATAAAAACTTTATTTAGTATTTACTTGTGGTTTCCCTAAATATTTCTTGCATTCTTCTTCACAAACTTTAGTTAAGCCACTTAAAAACTTTTCACTTAAAGTTTTACTTTTCAATTCCACAAGCAATGGAAATTCTGGATAAGATTCAGGGAATTGTAAACATGTTGTCAACTGTTTATATTTAGTTCTCCTAAAATAATAAAATTTATTAGGAACCACAAAAAGGAAAAAACAGAAAATTTATAGTTTTTTAGTCATTAACCATTGAATAATCAAGACATTTTTTGGTTTGATTATTCAATGTTAGAATTGAAAAATTTAAAAGGCAGAAAAAAAAAGAACAAAATTTTTAAAAATACATTATATTTAAAAATAAAATACTTCTAAAGGGATTTCGAATAGCCAGAACAAAAAAGTAATTCAAAATTTTAAAAATGAATTTAAACAGCATTTTCTTATAATACGACTATCGATTAATAAACAAAAAGTCTCAAACTTTATTTTTCTAAAAACAGTACAAAGATAAGTGATAAAAAATAGCAAGCATTAAATACCTTTCTTAAATCTTCTATTAGTATGCTAGATTGAAGTTAGATTAGCATGTACTGTTAGATACAAATTTGAAGGTCTAATATGCTTATTTTTCTTGCCTAATATGCTATGATTTTAGTAACATGTCTTTTAGTATTACATTACGATTTGATATATTACTTATTCTCATATTATACATCTTATGATTTGTTCTTAATTTTTAATTTAAATGATTTTGAAAGAGCCTAAAAACTATAAAAATTTTTTTATTCCATTTCAAAAGAGTCAATTATTAATGATATAGTCATAATAAAATTTTACATTTAAATATGCTTAAATTATGCTTTCTAAAATAAGCTAATAAATATTTAATAATAGCTCAATTTAGAAAAAAAATCCAAATCTTATAAATTAATGACATAACTGTCAGATTTTTTAAGTATACACCTTGAATGAGAAAAAAAAAATGCTTTGGAAATTTAAACCCTCACCACTCATCATATTTTAATGAAAAACGTCATTTCAAACATCAAATCTTACTTTATATCAACACGGACCATAGAACGAACACAAGCAATTATTTTTGAGCCAGGAATTTGAGATTCACAATGATTTTTAACATCTTGAAGTTCATCATGAATTATGCTCATCGATGTATTCTGAAACATAAATAATAATACAGAATTGAAATTGAATTATTAATTTTGAATTATTAATAATGAAATTTTAATTATTAATTTCTTTCATTCTATTTAAAATACTACATACATTGGATTAATAATTAAACATAAATTTTTAAGTGACCGCAATTTGTTTAGAAAAAATAAAAGTTTGAAACCTCCTTCAACGAGCACCTCTGAACAACAACAATCTTCTAGGAACTATCATATTTTATGGTACCGGACATCTTCCATATAATTTACATTACACGAAACTCTTTAAATATAGTTTATGTAAAACAACGAACCAAAAGCCGATATAACTTTATTTTCGTGTGTATCTTAGTAAACTTTTTCATCCCTAGATTGTTATAATTTTTATTGATCATTTCTAAACCTATTTTTCCCTGAGGTTTGCATTGTTTATATGTATCATAACAATTTTTATTAAGCATTTTAAATGCTAAAAATAATTATGGGTACTATTTGACAGTTTAATTACACCTACTACAGATAACTCACATCTTTCATGGGCTGCCTTTTTGTGCATCTATCTTGTTCCTGGATTTACAATAGTTAGCTATTTCTTTATCCATCATTGGTCAGTTATGTAAAGCATCCAAACTACACTTAACTATAGGGAACGTTCAAAACTATAGTGAACAGATTTGTCAGGCTTTGCATCCATAGTTTAAAGTCTTTGTTTTTCTTAACAAAAATTTTTGGCACATACTTATTGGTGTCGCTTTTGTCACATGCCAAAAAGAAAATCAAACATCGCAAGTCTAATAAATAGCACATGTTTTACGGTCATTTTTTTAACATAAAATATGCATTTCATAAATAATTTCGATTTAAAACAAATGTTAGAACCCATGTAACTGCTTTATTATGCATCTGCACCCGAAAACCGAATCAAATATTGCAACCGTCTGACATTCGAAGTTCATTTATATTACTGTCAATTTTAAGCAACAGTGTAAGGTTATGCCAAGCAATGGTGTAGGATATTACTGGTATAGATTTGAATAAAATTTCAGTCAATAGACAAAGTAATGGCAAATCCTAGAAAGTCAATGATACATAAATATCAATAAAAGCTAGTGAAATGGATCAAAATGACTCTAATATAAAAAATTATTCTGATATTCTAGAGAATTTTTGGGACATACAAACTTTTGCTAGGAATAATTATCGAGAAAAACATACTTAAAAATCTTTTAATATCCAATGACTAGGGCTGAGGAATAAAACAATATACAGAATCATCGATTTAACACACACACTGTCATGCCAATATAACGGCTTTCCATTTTTGAGAAGCATTGAAATTCAGCTTTAAACTGACAATATAAGAAGGCATTCACTATTTAACATGCGGGGACCATTGCCAACGTTTATGCTGTTACATTACTGACGAAGGCAAAATTGATTTTGTCTAGCTGAACAGATGTCATTGATTTCATCTTGCTATGAAAACTGTTTTGTGATGTTGAATAGCAAAGAACGAATTAAATCAGAAGTAACAGTTTCACACGAGGATCAGTCTTGAAATGTAGAAAGTAATGCATAGTTTCTTTATACACCATTTTTTACCGGGATTTTACATTTCTTGAAGATTATTTTCAGCAAGACTTACGTTATTTTGCAAATTGGTATTCGTCTTTTTAATCTGGATTTAACATTTCTAGTAAATTATTTTCAGAGGGACTTCAGCTACTTAACGATCGTAGTGCATTATTTCGTCAATTTTTTTTTTGTCTGTCTGGGCTTAACGTTTCTTGTCAATTATTTTTAGTGGGCCCCCTGCTACTTAGTGATCGCTACGCGTTCACTATTATTTTTATCTAGAATTTTCGTTTCGTACTCAATTTATTCATAAAAAATTTAAAAATAAAAAAAAAAAAGATTCTTTACCTATTGCTTTTTTAAATTTTTTCTTTTCATTTTAAGTAATTCAATTTAATAGCGATATTTTGTATTTAATTAACTTCAAGAAGCTTTTTTTCTTCTAATTTACACAATGCATGTAAGTAAAATATTTGGAAAGAATTTGATTATTTTTTAAACCAATAAATCTTCAAAACTGAGGCAAACAATGTTAAAGAGCACAAAAATATTTGCTCTTTAACGTTGTTTGCCTTAGTTTTGTATTTTAGCGCAAAGGTCGCCCACTTGTGTATTTTCAATAAATTTTCAGTCATTTTAATTATAAAAAATTAAAACAAAGCCTACATTTCAAATCTGTTTTTAATTTTTTATCTTGATTTTTCAAGAGCAAGATCTTTTTTTAAAAAAAAAAAAAAATAGGTACTAGCTTAATTGACTTTTGTTAATTTGTCAAGCGATTTTTTTAAAAAATTTTAAGAGTTTCTCAATCTATATAAATTATTTTTTTAAATATTATATTGTTTTATTTCTTTAAATATTATTGTGTTTTCTATTTTAATATCATTTTGTTTATATAAAAAGTATGCAATGCTATTGATGTTATAGAAGCATTTTTTTTAAATTAAAAATTTTTTTTGTTACAGCTATTTATTTGTTTTATTTATTTTTTGTTCGATTAAAATTTTTGATTGCGTAGTTTTGATTTAAAAGAGATAATTTTTAAACTTATGTTATATCGCCATGACCAATAGACGCCATATTACCTACAATATAAAATTTCTCATATCACCCAGTCTTACGGATGGACTGAGATCAAGCTATCTTGCGTAATAATCAATAAGGAATAAATTACTGTAGTGTAATTATATTATTTGTGATTCATAAAAATTTTGATAATTCTGTAATCTTCTAAACGATAATCACACAAACACTGAACTGCTATTAGGGGGTTTTATTGAATAAATCTTTTATATATTTTTTTTCATATCAATACCCATGAAATACATCATCAACAGTTAAAACTTTCTAAATTTACAGAATATTTCCAAAATTATTCAAAAAAACACTATAAAAATAATGTAAATAGTTTGCAAGATTTTGGTGAACTTAATTACGAATAAAACATGCTTTAATATTTAATTACATCATATTTAATAGAATATAAAATTAAGTTGTTAAAAAGATCTATTTACAGTAAAACAATTTTCACATTTCTAAAACTCTCATATCACTTAAGACATTTAAAAATTGTTTTCCGTAAATCGATATCAGTTTTTACCAAGTTTAAAAGAAATAAACTATATCAACTTACAACTGAATCTATGATTGCATAAAAAAACAGAAACCAATAGGAATTATATTTTAAATGCGGGAATTATTTAGACAAGAATACTGAAATATGTGAAACATTCTGAATCAAACAATTCAATATTCAACTCATTGACGCTATACACAGAGAACGGTAGGAAATAGCAGGTCAGTTTCAGAGCTATGTGGTTTCGAAGTTCGCAGAGTAATTTAGTAATTTCACACACGAAATGATTGCGAACATTAAAGATAAATTTAAAGTGAGCAATCGAGTTTTCTTTCACGAATCAAGTGCAAAATATAAACAGCCGCAAACCGGAACTACTCGATTCGTTTATTTACTACTGTTCTGGTTATTTATTTCTGCTTAGGCTGAGATCTTAAATTTTTAATATAGTCTTGGGAGCCCTAAATTTGTTCTTCTAGTGTATCTCATTTCGAGATATTAAAATTAATTAGATTATTAATTAGAATGATTTTAAATTAGTAAATTCATAAACTTAATGAATAGCAGCTTGACCTGAAAGGTGAAAATGACAAAGAATGGAAACAACGAAATTTGAATTACATAATTACACTTTAGCAAAACAGAAATGAAAAACCGGAAACGAATAATGCAAAAAGTAAACAAGCAAATAAGTTTTTTGTATTTCAGTTATTTAAGCACGTGTTTTAAGCTAAATACACGGCATTTGTTCTGCATTTTCCAACAAGATTGTTAGATGCACTTAAACAATCTCCAAATATATATGTATTTATATACTTCATTTGACTGAAATAATGGACACTGTCAAAAAGGAAAGCTACCAGTATCACATTGCTGGGGTTGCTCCAGTTAAATCTGAGTATGTTTAAAAAAACAATTTATTTTAATTAAAATCCATACAAATATCCTTATATATATATATATATATATTAAGGATAGAAACAACTTCTGTGTTATTTACTTAAAATTTGATAAAAAATTATATGTGTTGATGATATGTGTTTAACAAAATGATATGTGTTTGTGTTTATATATGTGTTTAACAAAAAAATTAAATAAATGCTCTCTCTCTCTTTATCCCTTTGAGAATTATTAAATTCATAAAATTTTATTCCCTCAAATATCAAATAAAATGTTGCAATTAATTATATATTTTATTTCTTTTGTTATTTAACATAATAAATAAAATTCTAGCTTACTCAATAAGTCAAACATACAATTTTAAATGGAAAAAAGTTTTATGAGCAGTTTTTTTCCATAGGGGTAGAAGCATGTCTATTCCATTTAAACTTAGTAAATCATTAGTAATAATGATGTATAAAAACACAAAAACTTTTACAGCTAATTTAACACATTTGATATTATTGTTATTCAGAAAGATATTACCACTTCACTACTAATTATGGATTGAATAAGGAATTATGTATTATTAAAATTCAGAAAAAGTTTTGTAAACTTTTTTTTAAAAAATTACTTGCAATCTGAATACATTTTTTGAATTTGAAAAATATATTTGAGGCAAAACTTGAATCGTTTAGATGTTACACTTTTATAACCACAAATATTAGGAATTGTAATGAGAAATGTGAAGGGGAATTAAATCATAACTGCTCTCAAATAAAGAAAACTAAAAAATTACAATTTTGATAATTTGTATGTCATGAATGAATTTTTCTTCATGGTAAATAATGAATTAACTATTGGCAATGTAAGCTAAACTTAATAATTGTCCCTTCAATATGCATAATTTTGTAAAATTTTAAGGAAATAGATTACCATTGAATTTACGATAAAATTGATAAATATCCAGGTGTTTATAAATTTTGAGTATTCACCTCAAGGTATAAAAACCCATATTATCTATATAGGTATGGGTACAGATTGGGAAATCTTTCTTTTTATTTTATTGATTCATAAATTAAACCCTCACTGCCACACCAAACATACTGTTATAGTTCATAATGTTTAAAATGCCAAATAAATTCTACTTGTTATGTTTGAGTGGAAAGATAAGTATTCTACATTAACTCCTTTCGTTTCCCTAGAGAATTAGGGAAGATTTCTATATCAATGTCGGTTTCAAAATAGTCATCAATATTAGGAGACTTCCATGCATTGGTTAAGCTCATGAGGCCAAGCCACTAATGTTTTATCTTTCATGTTTTATCTTTAATTTATTCCAAGTTAAACAATATGGTAATTAATGACTTATAAAAATTGAACAGTGATTCTGCTTACGTGCTGGAATGTCTCAAGTGGACTAAAAATTGTAGGGAAGACCCAAAAAATAAGCTATAACACATACCATGGAATGGGTGATTGTCCAATTCAGGGAAAAAAAAAGCATAGGTAGTTTGCCAGTAGATTTATACAGGCAAAACTTTAAACATATTTAAAGATGTATCAAAATTTTTTACTTTGATTTTGATAGCTGAAGAAAAAAATTGGAAAAATTCCGATTATCAACTTATATCATTGCTTTTCCTTGAAACAGGAGTTTGATCAGTCCTATCTAAAATCCTTGATAAGTTCAAATTTTGCTGTTCTTGATTTGAAATTCTTTGTTTTGTTTATCAATCGATGAAATAGTACTATTATGAGTATGAATATTAATAGATGGATCGAAGTTGAGAAATCATGTTTTAAATAGGGACCCACTTTCAGTAAAAAAAATTAAAAAAAGAACACAAATAAACCCTGGGTCCCACAGACCCATAATTCCCAATATCTAGTGGGATCACTGATTTAGTATTATGTAACTTTATTGATTTTTTTTTTAAAAAATTCTATTATTTCTAGATATCTCCTTCAAGATCATGTCAGAGAACTGAATTTAGATTTTGTTGCTGCCAAAGATAAGAAGAAATTTATACCGGGTTGTGACAAAGATTCATCTGATGAACCACCTGCTAAAAAATTAAAGGGACAAAACAAATACCGTCCTCGTAGTCAAAAAGCTCCAAGATCTGAAAAATTATGCTTTAAAATAGGCACTGAAGGGAGCTGCCCCTATGGAGAGAGTTGCTGTTACAGCCATGATGTCAAAGCATATTTAGAAAATAAGCCACCAGATCTGGGTGATGAATGCTACTTGTTTAGAAAGTATGGTAAATGTCCTTATACATTTTCCTGCCGGTTTGCAAAGGACCACTTTAAAGATGAAAAGAATGTTGTTGTAGAAAAATTGTGGGAAAAGTATAAAGATAAACAATTAAACTGTAATATGCTTTCTAAAGATTTACAAATCGCCTTGAGAAAAAGAAGTTACAATTTTAAAAAATCTGATAAAGCTCTAAGTAGTGCTCACATGCACAATGAAGCAAATGACACAATTTATGTTAAGGTCCCTCCGAAAGAAGTTGATGATTCTTCAAATAAAAAGATTGATAATAATTGCACATTGGATCAAAATTGCTCACTAGTACCTGACTCAGAAATTAAAGATCAAAAAAATTCAGTAGAAGCAGAAAACTTCAAAAATGTTAAGACAGAAGTTTTGGATAATTTTTCTAAAGATGATACTTTGCTTCTACCAGAAATTAAGAAGGTATTTCTGTTTGTATTTTATACAAATTAATGTAAAAGTATTAAAATTATTTTACACTAAAAAATGTAAAAATTTCTTTAAAACCTAACTATTGATTTCTATGGATGGTGTTTTCTACACTAGGGAACGCTGCAAGCTCGGTATCACCTAAATTTCCGGGTTACTGTTTCCATTGTATTTTAAAGCCATTTGGCATCATTGTGTTTTGAGATTCTTGCAAACAATGTATTTGATTACTTATTACTTATGTTTACAATGCTAACAATACTTGTGTTTACAATACTAAAAGTGTTAACACTAACGTAAGATGGTGCACAGCTTGCAACACGAACAAACAGTAATAAACAAATGGAAAGAGGCCAAATCAAGACTGCCAAAAAAGCGAGTTATTCAAAATCTAGCAACCATGTCACCTTTTTTAATAATAAATAACAAAATAACTAAAACAAATTTTCACTCCAAACTCCCCAGAATTACATAATAACATTAATATCTTATGAAATACGGCAGATTTGAGCTCAGAAATTATCTAATTAATTTCTTTTATTGAAAACAAAATTATCCGTTTGAAAACATCGCCTATCAGAATAGCATGTAGTAAGCAGCTGCAAACTTTTTAACCGGAACTAGAGTAGGTGCTGAGCTCGAGATTGTTATTGTTAACATTTCTATGGAAAACACCATCCATTATTATATAAAGATAGGCTTTAAAATTTATTATTTCTTTTCGCATAATTTTTTATAACAGTTTAACTTTTGAAAGATTAAATATTTTTATAGAAACTTTCCTGTGAAAAAGAAATTAAAGCTAAAAGACTTAAGAGTTAAAATAGTTACATGGTAATTTTGTTTAGTATCCATCTGTTAATTGTCTATCTAATCCTGCCAGTGTTTGTTTAGTTGTATGTATCAATACTATATATAATAATTATTAAATTAAAAATAATAGTCTTAACAATGCATACATATAGATTTAAGTGTAATATTTTTTTAAGTTATGTGAAATTTAAATTAATAATTTTGAATGAATTTTTTATTCAAAATGAGTATTTTCATTTTTAAATGTATGTTTAATACCGAAAAAAATACATTATGAAAATTTTTATGCTTTTTATTATGCATTTTTAATGCTTTTTATATTTAATTTCTTTTCTATTGATAGATAGACTTCAAAGATAAACTGTATTTAGCTCCTCTTACAACAGTAAGTATAGAATTTTATTGCTATAGTTGAAGTTAGTTATAGTTAATGCTGCATTTGAAGTTCCTGTTTATGATTTGTAATTTATGATTTCGAACTTTTCATAAAAAATTGCTAGTGAAAAACAAATTTTGCTGTAATCTGTTAGCTTATTTAATATTTTTACAACACATTAGTTTTAGCAGATTATACATCTAAATTTTAGATAAATTGAAGTTAGTGGGGTTAAAATAGTAAAAGAAAAAACTATTAATTTTTTAAAATTATAGTTGAATGAAAAAAATTAAAAAACAAAAATCTGTTTTTAGTTTGCTATATACCGTTTTTTATGCGTACAAAATTTTTGATTTCTTTAATACAACACATTTAAAGCTCAATGAGTCCACAACTTTTCAATTAAACCTTTATGACCAGTTATATCATAACTTCAATATCATAGTGTTCCAATTTTTTAAAAAGTCTTTAAAATTGCCGAGCTTGCTGCAAGTTTATGTTGCTGTGTTAGCATATAAATGACAGAAATATTTTCTTTGCCCTAATCTTTGTCTATTAAGTTTAGAATTTTTGGCTTAGTATGATTTTTCGTAATTATTCCCTGAAAAACATAAAATTTCATGTTTTTCGTATACTTTCAATGAAATCAAATTTAAGAAAATAAAAAGTAGTAAATTAAAGAGAATTTTAAAACTGTACAGAACTAAATCAATTTTAGCAATTGATATTTTTCTGCTGTAAACCAAATTATATTTGTGAAATTTAGTTTAACCTAAGTTTTATCATTTCTATGAATGTTTTAGACTTTTAAAAATGAAGTTATGTTTTGTTAAAAAAAATAGTGAAAATTTATTTATCTTAACAAGTTAAATTTATTTATCTTAATTTTCTTTTTATTCTATTTAATGAAAACATACAGTTACAGTTTATCCAGTTGTCTGTTCAATTTTTTAGTTAAGGAATTTTTTTTTTTAGGTAGGTAACTTACCTTTCAGACGAATCTGTAAAGAGTATGGTGCTGACATTACTTGTTCTGAAATGACTTTAGCTCTAAGTCTTCTTCAAGGACAGCAATCTGAATGGGCTCTTATTAAGCGACATCATACAGAAGATTTATTTGGCATACAGGTATTATGAAATAAACTCTATTTCTAACTATTTTTTTTATTCAGGAAAATCTGATTCAACTGCAATTTATCTATAGCAGCAGTTCCAATTCATGACCCACGTCCCATAACTGGGCCTCAGGCAATATGGTACTGGTCCGTAGACACTGCTCAAGACTCACTTTGATCACTTGTTTTTTAGTTTTCTTTTAGTTGTGAGAGCTAAAGGAATACAATAAATTTATTTTCTGTTTAAAAACATTATTTTATTTTTCTTATTTAATTGTAACAGTTAAAAGAAGCAACATCAATAGCTGGGTGCTGCCTACATATAGCATTGCAGGACAAAAATTGAAAGTCAAATAAAAATAATTATATATTAAATATGCACACAGTATACTTTTTTTTTATTAAATAGAGTTGAAAACTAGTAAATGTCACTGATATTATCTTTTAAATATTTAAAAAAAGAAAAAAGAATTATCTGCAGTTTAATTAGGACAATGTCTAATGCAAAGCCAATGAGAAAAACTGATTTTTCAGACATCTATTTGAATGGACCTACTGTTGAGTGATTTTTAAGACCAGAATCGTCCCTTTTATCAGCTGTTCAAATTTCAGGATTCTAGCACAAGACCAGCAGTTCTAGAGTTATAAGTAAAACATACATACAGACAGACCACTTTTTTATCACTGATTTGAATCTAGAAATTTATTATATTTGTATTACTTTATTGAAAGTAAAAATAATAATTTGTTGAATATTTTTTTTTTTAATTTAAGTAAATGAAAATTTAATATGATCTTGACAAATTCTATTAGCTTATAGCATTAATATAAACGATTAGAAGTTTTACTTTAGAAATTTTCATCTTTTCTATTAAGTTTTTAATTAAAATTACCAAATTGCATCTGATACCAAAAGTAACAGTTTTTCCTGACTGATACTCAATTCTATTAGTATAAGTTTGTAGCTGATAGTAAAAATATTGGCGCTTGCCTATGTCTAATTGATGCGAGATTTTCATTGAATACTTTGAAGTCTTAGTTTCATTTTTAATACTTCTTGTACTGATAAAATATTTTGAATCATAATTTGATTCCATGTGAAGAAAAGGTTAACTTTGTGAAAGTGAAAGCCAAAAAAATCTCTGATGCCATATAAATAAATACATGCTATCATTTTTTTTCTATGAAAAAAGTCCTTCACTATTGCCCAGAATACTGTGTTTGAACATTGATAAAGGATAAGTCATGATTTTTTTTTGTTGATAAAAATTAATATTTTTAAAATTATTGTTTTTTAAAAAAGAACTAAGGTTGCATTTATTCCAAGTTATAGAATGCACACATCTTTCTTTATAAAAATAAATAAAACAGCACCATTTTCTAAAGTTTTGATTATGCTCTCGGAAAGTAATTTAATCATTAAAACATAATTTAATCATTGAAACGCAAACAATTTTAATGTTGTAAAGAAAGAAAATGTTGTTCCCATAGAAAAAATGCATGTTCTGTATTGTAAGCGAAACTTATGTAATTTATTGGTAAATATAAAGCTGTGTGCGTTTTCAATACAACTTTTAATAATTTTTTTTCTAAAACATTTATATATATTACAGCTGTGTGGTTCACAACCAGAAGTAATGACTCGTTGTTGTCAAGTTTTGTCAGAAAATGCCTCCTTTGATTTTATAGATTTGAACCTTGGTTGTCCTCTAGATGCAATTTATAAAAAGGTAAATATTTCATTTATGTGTCATTTGTTGTCGTAATATTATTAGAACAATCTTGCATTCATGACAGGTTTGTTTTTCCTTCCTCTATTTGCAAAAACTAATTGAAATTCTTAATGTTTGATCACTATATTATTTTGAATATGGAATTTAGTTTAAGGAAATTATTTAAATAATTCATTCCTTTTCTTTTTCTAGGGTGCTGGTTGTGGTCTTATGAACAGAATGAGAAAATTAAAAACCATACTACATGGTGTTTCATCTGTTATTGATGTTCCTCTTACCCTTAAAATGAGAACTGGTATTTATTCTAATGAAAGTCTGGCAGATAGTTTGATTAGAAAGTTAAAGGAACTAAAGACACCTGTGTCACTAATTACTGTAAGTTTTGAAACTTTAAAATTTTTTAAATCACTACAATTTTACAAAAAAGAAATGCTTTACTGTATATAATTTATTATACAGTGGTGGCCAAAAGTGTGGACACTTTTTGAAAGTTTCATGTTTTCCAACTTTGTGTGCTTGTAGAATATATTAATTTTCACTTAAATACAAACATTTATGTATGAAATTGAAGGTAATTTAATGTGAAATTTAATAACAAAAACAAAATTAAAATATCTGTATTACAAAAAAAGTTATGCCTATTTTAGTAGAACAAACAAACATAAATCGTTTTGAATAAAGACGTGTTTTGTAATAAAAGCGTACTAGCCAATCACAAACACTGTTCTTAGGACCAATCAAATGTCTGTAACTATAGTTTAGGTTATTTGGATGGCAAAAGAGTTATTGTTGTGGAAATATTTTGCGGAATGATGCATACTAGTACAATTAAATAGAGTATTGCTGTTTTTTAATTTTAAAGTCCTTTCTTTTAATTAAACTAATTTTAAACAATGTCATCAACAAGAAGAACTAATTGGACATCTACAAAAAGAAGCCGAATTGTCATATTGAGAGAAAATGGCCTCTCTTATGCTGAAATTGCAAGACAAGTTGGTGGTTCAGTGACTTGTTCTGGTGTACGAAAGTTCTGTTTACGTTATGAAAAAACGAAATCAGTGGAAAATAAAGCCAAATCAGGCCGAAAAAAATGCACAAGTGCTACTGCCGATAGAAAAATTAAACGGCTATGCCTTCAAGATAGAAAAATTTCATCAGATGCCATTAGATGTGAAATGAATGCAGCGGGTATTGCAGTAAGTTCAAGAACAATAAGAAGAAGGTTATCAGGATTTGGACTACAAGCTAGAATTCCAAGGAAAAAACCATATTTAAATCAAAAGCAACGCGAAAAACGAGTTAAGTGGGCAAAAGAACACATTAAATGGTCAGAAAATCAATGGAAGCAAGTAATCTGGAGCGATGAGAGTAAAATATCGCTCTTTGGTAGTGATGGTAGAAAATACGTGAGACGTAGAGTAGGTGAAGCACTTCATCCTGATTGCATTGAAGCAACTACAAAAAACCCAACAAATGTCATGATTTGGGCATGTATGTCTGCAGATGGTGTGGGCCGAATTCAAGTGATTTATGGCATCCTGAATGCCAAAAAATACATCGAAACTGTCCTGAAACCAAAATTGATACCTTCCATCAGGGATCTCTTCCCCAACAACGCACCATTTATTTTTCAGCAGGATTCAGCTCCATGCCACACAGCAAAAGTATGCAAAGCATGGTTTCAAAATAAAGGCATAGATATATTACCATGGCCAGGAAACAGCCCTGATCTCAATCCAATTGAAAATTTGTGGCGACGTTTGAAAATTCTTGTACGAAAAAAACGTCCATCCAATAAAAGACAACTTATTGAAGCTATAATTGATTCTTGGCACCATGTGATTACAAAAGATAAACTCCAAACACTTGTTCACTCGATGAAAAGAGGCTGTGAAGCTGTCTTAAAAAATAAGGGTTATCCTACTAAGTATTGATTGTGTAAGTATCACTTTAAAAAAATGCAAATCTAAGATAGAACTTACTATTAGTTGTGTAACTTTTTTTGTAATATAGATATTGTAATACTGTATTTATTATTAAATTCTGCATTAGATTACCTTCAATTTGATATATAAACGTTTGTATTTAAGTGAAAATTAATATATTCTACAAGCACACAAAGTTGAAAAACATGAAACTTTCAAAAAGTGTCCACACTTTTGGCCACCACTGTATAAGCCATTATATAATTATTATTGACCAATTATTATTTTTTTTTAAAGTCAATGGAGTAAGCAGATGAAGTTTTCCATAGTGTTTTTCAATTGTTGCAAAACCCTTTGTTATATAATGAAGATATCAAATAATTCATCATTTAAAGAAAAAAAGGAAATATTAGAGACATATAGCTGCTTTAATATTGTCAGTGATTCTTGACTTCATTGGTGATTCTTTTTAACAGCTTCATTCCTTATAAAAATAAGTAAAAAGCTGTACCCTCTTATCTATAACCATACCCAATTGTATTAAATGAGTATATATTTTGATGTGTGTTAAAAATGTGTATAGAATCACTTAAACATTTTAAAAAAACTTGCAANTTATAAAAATAAGTAAAAAGCTGTACCCTCTTATCTATAACCATACCCAATTGCATTAAATGAGTATATATTTTGATGTGTGTTAAAAATGTGTATAGAATCACTTAAACATTTTAAAGAAATTGCAAAAAGCTTGTTATTACATCATTTTATTAATACACAAAAGTTTTCTGCTTTGCTAATGAAAGATAAAATTTTATGTTTGTTAATTAGCTTCATGGTCGATCCCGAGAGCAAAGATATACCAGGTCTGCTGACTGGGCTTATATTGATAATTGTAATAAAATTGCTGAACCCATTCCATTATTTGGTATGTACTTTGCTTTTTCAATTTTCTGTAATCTTTTTATTTGAAAACAGAACTATGTGTAACTTAGTTTTTAAATAGTTATTTCCTCGTATAATTGTTTTTACATATTTTAAAATACATCTAATTTGTGCACCTCCATAGCATAACTCAAAAATTTTTATCACACCTTTCGTTTATATATTAAAATTTAAATCTTTTTCATCTTAATCTTAAAATTTTTTATCTTTTTCATGGATCTCACATTATTTGTAAAAAACAGATTGTGATTAAATTTTTTTGTTTGCATTCCAAAAACATTTTCAATGGAAGTTTTCAGATTATAAGTTACAACTTAGGGAGACTCAGCTCCCATAATGTCATAACATGCTCGAATAATTACTACTAATATTTTTTTTAGGAAATGGTGATATTTTATCTTATGAAGACTATAATGCAAGGCGTGCCGAAAGTAGTGTGTCGGGAATCATGATAGCAAGGTTGGTTTATGTATTACTATTTTTATCTTGTTTATGAACTCGTAATGTTAAGTACAAAAAGTAAAGCATTCCCTTAACAGACAGGTTGTAGTAGATCATAGAGGTAAGGGCTCCACAATTTCGAGACAAACATCATGATGGTGGTCTCAAGTGTGGTCAACATTGTACTCCAGCTGCCTTTACTTTCCATATAAGATGGGTGGGTCTCAAGTAGCCACTAAATATAGTACTTCAGTACAGCTCAGTGCCTTAAACACTGCACTTTCTTTGCTCGATATTAACTATGTATGTTAACATTCTTTTAAATCATATATTATATATAGTCCCCCTATATTATTCTTACTACAACCTTCTATTACAACAGCTCTTCCAATATAACAAAGAATGCATAAAATATTTGGTATTCCTAGTCACAATAGCTTATTAATATTATTTAGAATGTCTGAATTAAACTGTTTGTTTAATATAGCAACTGAAATTTCGTTAAATTTTTTTTCAATTCCTAGATAATCACTTCAATATCAGCTGTAAAGCATTTTGTACTTTTAAAACAAAATGCTTTCTTTGACAATTAATTATTTTAAAGCACAAGCTTCAAAAAGATTGTTTAAACCACTATTCTTCTGATTTGAACTTTCATTAATTATCTGGATTTCATTTTTAATAAAGGAAGTGTAACAAGAGCTCTTAAATTCTTATTCAAAAATATGTGGTTCAAATAATAGTGAAATATGGATTACTTTACATTTTTTATAACCAAAAGAGTAAATTGCACACTATCATACAAAAATCTGCATTTATTAACATAAAAAAATGCAAGTGATGATTATTAGTGGTGAGATGTATAACTTCATATTCTTCTGGTTACTCTTTTACATAGTTTCTTTTTCCTATGTACCTCAACTTACTTTTTTGTTTCTTATTTTTAAGTTGTGTTATGTTAAGATCAATTTTTTAAAAACATTTTTGATTTCCAGCTTGGTCTGCCTTTTTAAAAAACTGCTGGTTGGGTCAAAGACAGTAGTTTCAACTTATCAATATTTTACAAGATAAACGTTTTGTTACATAAAAAATTATAGTAAAAGAAACAATAAAGTGTATGTGTCCAATTTTTTATAGAATTTCACTAACATTCCTCATTTGAATTAGCACTCAATCTTTTCAGTCTCCTCATGGAACTTGCCAATAATTCACTCATTAATAATCAAGGCTCTACTGTATGTGTATACATATACTTTTTAATATTTGTTGATTGATTTTAAATTTGGGCATTATATTTCATTTTTAGAGGAGCTCTGATCAAACCTTGGATTTTCAAGGAAATTAAAGACCAGTTTCACTGGGATATATCATCTTCTGAAAGATTAGATATTCTAAGAAAATACTCAAATTATGGTTTAGAGCACTGGGGTTCAGACACAGAGGTGAGAATTTTCTTTTCTGTTAATTTTTTGCACCATAACATAAAAATATGCTTATATATTTAGTACTGCACTATTAACTCATTTACTTCAACAAAGGTCATCGATGCTCTGTTAAATCAGAACAGTGCAGTGCTGTCTTAAAGCAGTGATAATGAAATTGCTTCAGGATTTACTTGCTTTTGGATGAATTGATTTATCTATAACTACATTAATAAGTAAAAAGCAGGGCTCAAAATTTACAGCAGTTTGCTCACATTCACTTTAAAATAATTATAATTCGTCTGACCAACTGGAAACTGTGCTGTTTTGGTCAGTGGTTTTGTCTGAAATAGCATGATTTGAACATAAGCAATTCATTCTCTTAACTCTTTTTTTTTAATGAAAAATATAGAGAGAGAGACATGTAAGACTAAAGAAAATGTTTACAGACTAGTGATATCTTTTAGTTACTGATCCTTCATACTTGTGAATATAATTTATTAATTTTTACCTCTGCTTAACCCAGTGGCGGTTTAGCAAATGGGCAAAATTATGAGAATGTTTCTCTCCAATACACTATTTTTCCATCTAATATGGAAAAACGGTTTTTGCTATGTGGAGAAGACTGCAGGTTGAAATAAGATTTTATACATGCAGAACTGTAAGTGGATTAAAGAATATATATAAAGTGAAAATCAGAGTGATTCTCTTCAAATACTTATTACCAGTTTTCTTTTTAAAAGCACTGTTTTTATTTATCGTAATAATATCAATGTACTTGTTAGAATAACAATAGAATATTTTTTAAAAAAAAGCAGATAAGTTGGAATTATAAAAAGGAAGAACCTATCTTCCCAAAAACTAGTCAAAAAACATAATTTTGTTCACGATATTTTTATTTTTGCTCTTATATCTACATGGCATGTGTTTTAAGGTAATGCAGTGTGCATATTTTAATATGATTGATTTCTTAATATATTTGTTCTGATTTTTAATTGCTTTCAGTTTGTTTGAATTTTTTTTCTTTGCATAATCAATAATAATTGTAAATCAATAATAAATCATAAGTAAATCAATAATAATTGTTAGTGAAAGGATATTTAATCCAAAAGATAGGAATTGTGAATATTTTTAAAAAAAGCTTCTCGGAATACATAAAAGAAATCATATTTATATATTATTAATATTTATACGTATACTTAATGTTGTGAAGTGTACCATCAATTATTGTCTTTTTTTTTTCCTTTATGCTACTTTTTTAGGGATGATTTATTTATAATATGAAAATAAATAGAGTTATTAAAAAATTTAAGTAAAGTGAGTTATAGGATTTTTAAGATTATCATTTCAGTAGCTAAAAAAAGAATATTTTTTAGTTTTTAAACTAAAATACAAAATAATAAAATAAAGTGAAATAAATAAATTACCGATAATAAGATGTTTGACTCAGGGTGTTCATTAAATAATAACCACTGAAAAACATTTGATTTTCCACCATATTTTAATGCTTATATTTTATTCTGAAAATTAATTACAGAAACTTATGCACTTTTAAGGAATTAATTTGTAAATAACTTTTCTTATTCTGTTTAGGGTGTTGAAAAAACTAGGCGATTCTTGTTAGAATGGCTGTCTTTTTTATATAGGTAAGTTTTTTTTAAACATGTGTTTTTGAATTAATAAATTTTAAATGTTTTCTGCGATTGTTTTAATTTTTTGTTTAATTTTTCAATAAAAATTCTGGTTGGCAATTATTTAAATATTAAAAACAAAGCATTTATATAGCTTTTAAACCTTACCTTTAGTGAAATTTAATTAAGACTTGCCTGTTGAATGAACATGTTTTTTAAACATACACACCGTTGTTTATTTTTCAGTGAAAATGTTAAAAATATAATGTTTCTCATATCACACATAGATTATCCAGATCTATTTTCAACCTTTGATACTCATTATTGTTTGGCATTATTAAAAACGAAGTTTTAAGAAATAATCTTAAAACCATCACTAAACTCAAAACCGTCATTGAGGAGATCATCAGACTTGACATTTCAGCAAGTTTTAAAGAATTTTGCTTTTCGCCTGCTGCACTTTATATCAGTTTATTGCAAACATTTGCAATATGTCATATGTGTACAATGTCATATGTCAGCAACTAAACTTATATCTGTAGTTCGAGCCTTGGTGGCTCAGAGGATAGAGCGCTCGCCTTCCAATGAGGTCAACCGAGTTCAAATCCCAGCGATGGCTGGTCGATACAAATTCCGTGCCCCACTCGCTGGTGTAAAATATTCTCAATGGTAAATGGATCATGGCATTTCAGAGAGGCTAATCGTGGGAGATTTTTCTCTCCATGTACCGCAAATGCGGGTTAGTTCCATCTAAAAGTTCGCCATGAAGGCAAATTTCTCCCAATACTTGATCCAGGAGTTCCTTTGTAGGGTCGGCTGTTCAATGGCAGTTATAATATATCTGTAGTTTAAAATTTAAATAAAATTTTAAAATTGTTGTTTTTGAAAATTATGTTGTTTTTCTTATGCCATTGCCAATACCAGCAAGTCGGCTTGAAATCAAGCAAATTTTTAAGGCAGAGTGTGTGTTTCTTGTTTTTTCACGACGCCATCTATTGCCAAGAATACGACTTTAGCTATCCACACATCACAACCCGTTATACGGGAGGACTCAATCATACTCTATTCATTCATCCACAGATCGTAGTTTTGAGCTGAACCAAAAATCTACAATTCAGTACCCCCATATGTATTGATTTGTTAAGGGAGTTTGAAAATTATATTTCGTAGAGCTAAGTAGTCACCTTGTATTTAGATATTACAAATTAGATGTAAGACTCCCTATTCATCTATAAAATTTTACCGTAGTTAGAACTAAATTCACAATATTCTATGAGAGTTACGACTCATACTATGATACATATCATTATGCCACTCTGGCGCTAAGATATGACGGGAAAGACCTGAGGAAAATTAGCAAGATTTTGCTACTTGCCTGTGTCACATCATAGTCATTGCCTGATGGCAGGTATGTCATTATCTAAATCTGGAATAACTTTAAAATTCCTATAATTTTTAACATTTTATTTCATATGTCAGTTTGTAAACCTGTATATTCTTTAAATTTATCACCAGCGTACGGAAGAAGTTATCTTCAACTATCTTTTTCAGGAATAAAGACTGTTACCTTTTCATAAGTCTAAGTGGAAAAAGAGCTGTCCATTTCTTTGTTCATTAACAATCTGTTGAAAGTGAAATGTTTAGTGTTCTTAAAGATTTTGTAGAATTTACAAGATAAAGAAGAAAAATGCTTCAAAATTGCAGTTTACCCTTTATTATTATTCTTAGAAGTAATGAATGGGGGGAAATACCTTCTTTTTTTTAAAAAAAAAAAATATTAATAAGTTAATATTCTCTGCAAAATAATTTGAAAGTGGCACATTTTTTAAAATAAAAATATGTACTATTATTATTCTTAAACAATAGTTTGCCCTTTTTTGTTTAAAAAAAGTAAAAAGAACATGTTTTTTTTTATTGCTAAATATTTATTCATTGAACTGCTTGAAATTATCAGTTTCACTGTGAAATGTATATTACCCGAGTTGACTGGAGTTTGAATTTAAGCAGCTCTAAAATATTCCCCTTATAATATTTATTATTGATTTTAATTTTGTTGTAGATACATACCTGTTGGATTGTTGGAAAGAGTACCGCAACAAATTAATGAAAGACCACCTCCTTATTTTGGACGTAATGATTTAGAAACATTAATGGCTAGTCCTAGTTGCACTGACTGGGTTAAAATAAGGTAAATAATTTTACTCTTAAAAAAAATTTAAGTATATATACATGTGAGCATTATTTTGAATTATGAATAATATTTTTCTACTGGACTATAATGAAAGTAACGTTATCATACTATGTAATATTTGGAAGTTTCTTGCACTTATTGTCTTCTTTTGTTCTAAATTAGTGAAATGCTGTTGGGACCGGTGCCAGAGAACTTCATTTTCTTACCTAAACACAAGGCAAATGCATACAAATGATTTTTATTTATATTTTGTTAATAAATTGGTTATGTTATTTTTGAATAAAACATTTTTGTAGTTTCTTTTCTTTTACCATGTTTCTGTCATTTTCTTTTTATGTATGTAACATAAAACATAAGTCTTTTGTGCACTTGCTATTTTTGAATTTAAATTTTTATTTTTTTAAAAGAAAATCACTTCAAAACAGATATAAAACATTTTTCATTAAAACAAAGTTATTTGCTAGAAAAACACTTGAAGAAAAAATAAATGTGATTAGTGTTACAATACCAATGTTACAATGTGATTAGTGTTACAACCTAAAACATCTCGATTTTCCTTAAAATTGGTTGTTGACTCTCAAAGGATATTTTTGAAAATTTCACATTTTTAGTTCCATGTGGACATTTGCTGTAATTTTATTTAAAAAATTCATTGTGATGCTACCTTTTATTACACACCATCTTTTGTTTAAATGAGCAAGGTCGCATAGTTTGTCTGTCGAAAGAATTCTCCTTGCTGCAAAGTCTAAAACTGCCTGCTGCTATGGAAACAAGAAATCGCACAATTCAAAGAGGGAAGCTTCTCTCTCTTTACCCTGATTCCTTTTCTTTCGCAAACTCAAGCCAAAACCTGTCTCAAATATTGAAATAGTTAGAATAGTAACGAACCAGCGATGGCCGGTTAAAACCAATTTTGCTCCCAGCTTGCACCAATCACAGTGCTGACATCAAATATATTTTTGTTTTTTGGGTTGGGTTCAAAATAACAAAAGTTTACAGAGTTGAACAATGATAGTTGTAAACTCAAAATTCGATTGGCTGTTTAACACCGGTTGTAAAATAAAATAAAATACTTGTCTCCTAAATCGAAAATTAAACAGATAAGAATTGGAAAAAAAAACAATGGTAAAATAATAAAGTTACACATTAGTCAAGTTCGATTTTACCTATTTGAAGTAAGTAGACTCTAATTACACAAAAAATTTCAGATTTGAATTTTTTTTAAAAATAAATATTTTATTTAGAGAAAAAATTTTACAATTCTTTTGGAAATTCAAATCAAATTTAAGTTTCAAAAAATATTTAGTTTTGCTGAAACCAAAATGAAGTTAGTGCAGTAGAATTGAAAAAGTTTTCATCAACTCAAGTGATATCAGGAAATCATTTACCAACCTAATAGCGGTTTATCGCATGGATGTTTGAATGTAAAAAAGATGTATATGCATAAACAAATGAAATAACACTGAAATAAAAAATTTTATTAAAAATAATTTATTTACAGTATAAATGATGAATATGTACAAGTGAATCGAAAAAATACTCCCGAAGAGTAACAAAAATATGATTTGAATAAAACAGATTAATAATTTTTATCCATAAGTCTGTCCTACTTTTAAAAAGTGGAATGAACTTGTGGAATTGTTTTTTAACTTCTACATAAGAGGAATTTTTAATCAATGTGATTTTAACTTAGAAAACTATTTAATAAAAATTTACATAAACTTACTACTACTTAAAAAACAAGAGACACTTAATAATCATACAATAAACAATTTTAAAATATTTTAGAAAGAAAATAATTGACAACTGAACATAGTGACATTGAAAAGAAATGTTTATTATTAACCCTTCAAAAGTATAGCTTGTCTATGTAAAGAACTCCCCTAGCCATTCGTCTAGAGTAGTGATGGTGACTATGGTTACGGGGTTTAACTATTTCAAGTAGGAGTGTTATGACTTAATTAAAGACGGGTTTTGGCTTGGGTCTGCAAGAGAGAGGGAATCGGGGGAGAAAGAAGCTCCCCTCTTTGAAATGTGCTCTTTCTTGTTTCTATAGCTTCAAATGGCTTTAAATTTCGTGGCGAGGGGTGTTCTTTCTATGGACAAACTATAGTACTCAGATCTGGATTGGTTAATAATAATTATATTTATTTTTATCAGCCTACTCTTTTAGGGGCAGTGGTATAAAAGATATCCCACTTATATTTTTTTAAAAATCAGTGGGGGATAAAAAAAATTTACTAAAAACTAAAACTGTAATGGTTTTATGTCTTAAAAATAGGCGGTATTTAATCAAGTACTTTCATTTTGAAAAATAAAAAGATAAATCAGATTGTTTCATAATGGATTTGCATACAATGGCTACAATTCTTATGACTCATCTTAACTAAAATTTTAGCTCCAATATTTAAGCCACACAAACAGTTATTCATTTTTGCTTCACCTGTATGGAATGTCAATCCACTTACATTTATTTTAGGAAAGGAATTACTTCTATGCTCTCAAAACACATTTTCAATTCACATTTGTGTTGGTTCCAAAAAAAACCATTTATCGACAAAGCAATTTTTTTATAAATCACTGATATGGGCACAGTTGAAATAGCCTTCAACTATAATATAAATATTTTACTATTATGTCCACGCATTTGAACAACTCGAATATAGAACTAATCAACAAAAAAAGTCATGAGTCATAATTGATACAGATAAAATAAATGTAATATTGGTTACAATTACATGACGTTTCAGTTCAAAATATTTCTCAAGTATTAACATGGCTATTAATATTTCCAAACAGTTTACAAGATTAGTGTAACTACTTTCTAATTGAACATCATTTTAAAGCAGTAAAAATCAATAATAATTAAATTACCAAAATAAATTTAATAAGTTTAAACTTTTTTTAAGCAATTACTTTAATAAGTACTTTTTTCAAACTTTTCATCAACAATTATGTTTTAAAATACTTCAACATTTTGTCTGGATGAGCCATACTTTTTAAAAATGATTTAGAATGATAAATTGATAGTTCCTAAATAATTAACATAAAACTCATTACTGTTGGAATTTAAAAGAATTAAATGTTTTAACACATAATCAAACAGTCAATAACAAGAAGGAATTGAGACATACCTAATCAATAATAAGGTGTTTCTTTTTAAAATAAAAGATTTATAGTTCTATAGAGCTTATACAATTTTGTAGTAGCCCTTAGATCGACAGAAGATACTTGCTGATTTAATTATGTTACTCCGTAAATAATATTTTCTTCACTTTGGGGTTTATTTCTTTTTTTCAATTTTAGTAGTCCTGCAGTCTAGCACTAGGTAGCAGAGTTGTCATTTGCATTCGCATAAAACGGTAATTTGCATTTTTTTAATTATAAGGTAAATTTTTATAGTTCATTATAAGATCAATGTTGGCATCAACTAAATGCAAATTAGAATAGGGTATAAATATACCAGTCACTCCTATATCACTTGCTAATGGTTATTTTCTTTTTCTTACAGCATGTTATCCTGATCCATGTCAATCATTATCATATTGAGTTCAAAATATTGTTTTAATGTCACGGCATACATTATTTTATTATAATTGTGTATAATTCTCTATAAGTTTATGTTCAATCGCCTGCAGACCTCATTGAAGGTACCTTTGCAATTGTCCTCTAAGTGTCAGTGTGCGTTATTCATGTGCAATTTTTTCCTTTTTTTTTAAAAAAAAAGCACAATAAGCTCATATGTTCCCTAGTTCTATTACTCGTTGTAAAAATGGTTAAAAGAATTATATGGAAGATCAACAGAAAAAAATTGGAAATTAAGTTGATAAAAAAGGATTGTTGAAACTCATTTCTGCTAATTAATGAAGTAGAGTATATATTCAGCTTTAAATACTCAAATATATATAGTTTGTTAATATTTCATGTTAATAAAAATATTTCTAAATAAAAAATTGAGATTTTGTAAAATTCTAAATAGAGTAGAACACAGGCACATTTTTTTTCTTCTTCTTAAATGTTATAACTTTTTGTAAAGAAAGTTACATTAGCAGAGAATGAAAATAAGTTTTGGATTATCAACAAAGAGCAAACTTTTCAAATGAATTAAAAAAATAAAATTGGGTTTGTCTTACTACAGTCATTTTTTCTTTTAAATAATAACATTTTGAATATATATTACAAGCCATTTTAATTAAGTCTAATATTTTCCACGATTCCAACGACTGTGGTCCAAACTTCATAGTTCTGGAAGACTTTTGAAAATTGTTGAAAAGCCTTATTTCTCAAATTTTTTAATGATGCTTTATTTCATTTGTATTTTTTTTTCATTAAATTTGTGAACAATCCTTTATTTTCACAATTTAATAACAAAACCAATTTTTTTAATAGAAACTCTTTTGTTTTGTAATTCAATTCTGTTCGTGTACTCTATTTGATATGTTTATAAAACTTTGATTAATATTTATACTATTAAATATAAGGAAACATATTTCATTGTTTGTGGAAAATTATTTGAAAAATAAGAATTTTTTTTCTCGAAACAATGGAATATTGCAAATTAACATTATTAGTAGAAATAACACAAATTATAACCATTACTAAAAATCATTTGCAACAATAGAAAGCATAGTTTACAAATTAGCATTCTATGCATTAAAAATTTTGTGATAATTAAGTTAGAGAATAATTTTTTTTAATTGAGCAAAGAAATTTACAATTAAATATAAAACAATTAAAAATAAATATAAAAATATTTTTCATAATCAGTTTTTCTATCATCTGAAATATAAATATCAAAATATGTATGTATAATTCTAAAAACATATTAAAACCTAATCATTACTGAACAATATCATCTGCTAGGGCTTCTTGCAATTGGTCAGGAGGACAAATGTAAGCTCTTTTCATATGAGCCATGATGACATTGGATTTTAAACGATGCAATTCTATGGCAAATACAAATGTCCTATTAGAAACTTCAGATGCTGTTCTGCTGATTTCTTGAACTTCATCCCATCTGCAAAATATTTGATCTTGTAGTGCAAATCATTAAAAAAAATCTCCAGAGGAATTTATTTTTAGTTAATATTTAATAAACTTTTAATATTCGGTTGAATAAGAGAGACGGAATCAATTTTATCACACATTTAAAAGTGTGCTGGAAAATATGTACTAGATCATAAACATGTAAATTCAACTTATAGGTTTATGGAAAAAATGCACATGCCTAATGCAATAGGTCTAATTTGTAACATAAATTATAGCTTAAAATATGAGAGGGGTATTCCTTTTTTAGAAATTCATATTTTGATTTGATTTAATTTTTTGCAGGTAAATTTTATTGCATAAGGAGCTATAACACAAAAAATTGCATTGCATTAAAATTAATAAATTTTGTACTAACAAAATAGTGATTTATTAATGCATTTATTCATTAAAGCTTTATTTAACTAGTATTGTAAGCAAATAAACATTACAAATAAATTTAAAGAAAATTTACTTTTTTTTAAAATTAAGTGAATTTTTTTAATTAAATTAAAATAAACTTTAAACTTTTTTCAGGATTTGTTCTAAATACTTTTAAAAGTGATCAGTAAACAAACAGATAGTAGAAGTTATTTATGACTCACCTAATAAAATTAGTAGATAAAAAATTTAATTCTTAGTACTTGTAACTGCCATTGTAATTAAATATTTTAAATAAGTATGACAAAAACAATATTGAGAATAGTTCATAACAACATAAATTTTGTATAATAAGATATTGAAATAAAATATTGAAGATTAAAAAACTTATTTCTGCTTTTTGCCAAATTTAACCTTTTAGCACAAAATTGGATTATTTTTATATATTACTTACTTGATTACTTTGTAAAGAATATCTTTATTTATCTCTGTATTTTTATTTATTTTAAAAATTTAAATCGAAAATTTTTTGAAATAGCTAAATATGCAGAAGAATTTATTCAGAACCCTTTTATTTTTAAGTTTATACAAACCTTTTATTATAATTAGTAATTTTTACCAACAACTAACTCAATTTGAAGTAAAAAATAAGTATATAATTGCTTTAAATTCAGAGATTCGATTGGAACAAAATAAAAGAAAAATGTTTACGGATAGGTTTGCTGACATTATAAAATAAATTATATATTTTAATTTCAATGCATAAAAAACAGAAAAGAAATTATAAACGTTACATTTTATAATAAAAGTTTTAAATGGTCTTGTTTATAATGGTTTTAAATGGTCTTGTTAACAAAATAAAATACAAATAATATGAAAAATATTTACAGATAGGTTTGCTGACATTATAAAATAAATTATATATTTTAATTTCAATGCATAAAAAACAGAAAAGAAATTATAAACATGACACTTTATAATAAAAGTTTTAAATGGTCTTGTTTATATCTTCGTCGTAAGAAACTTATTATCGTACATCAGTAACAATTGGACAGAAATAAAATGATTAACGAAAGTATGAGTCTGCATAATGCATAATTGAATTTCATAACGAGTATAAAGTTTGATTTTGGAATTAAAAACTTGGGGTGACTGATTCTTTTTGCATTCCCTATCCTTTTCCCTCCTCCTCCTCCATTTTAGAAATTAAAGTAGCAACTAATGAAATTTTTTTAATGGCCATTTCAAAGTAAGTTCCAGGAATTGCTAAGATTTTCTCACTTAAAATTTCTTTCTTAGAACAAAACGTATTAACAGAGCTCGAAAAACTGTCCGTCCTCGGCTGTCAAAAATTCCCCGCGGGCAACAAATTTCTCGAATCCAACGGACGGCCATTTTCCTGTTAATGTTCGCGATACATTTTCAATTTTTGTTATCTTGCAAGAGCTTAACGCCTCACTTCTAAAATGACCCTCTAATCTAGAAACACAGCAACATACTGATCATGGTGGAATTGATGTTTTCTCTGTCTGGGAGTATTGCAGCAGTTGAAAGAGGTTTTTCAGCAATGAACTTACAAAAAAACACGTTACGTACTGGTCTTAAACAAGAAGCGTTAAACGCAATTATGAACATCTACCTAAATGGAAAACCCCTTTCAGATTTCTGTGCAGAAACCTCTGTTAATCATTGGCTTGATTGTGGAACTGTCAAACGTCATATTTGATTCATTTAGAAAATGCAGTACCCTCGGATAAATTGACATTCCAGATAACTTGACCTTTGTCATCTAAATTATTTCATAAAAGAAATACTAGGTTTTACTATTAGTAACCTAGTATTTCTTTTACTGTAGAATGTAATCCTAGTAACTACTAATTCATAGAGCAATTTATATAAATGTTAGTAATAAATAAGAGAGAATTATATATTTTTTTATTTAGAAGCTACGGGTTAGTTTCGAGGGAGGACAGGTACATTGTTGGACAAGCCGTCCTCGGGGACGGGTAAAATTTTTGAGTTTTTTCGAGCCCTGCGTATTAAGATTATTTAGTTTTTTTATAGACGATAAGATAAAGATACTTCCTTACGTATATTTAGGAGGTTCATTCAAGAACACACCAATATTTTTACATGGCAAAGGCAGAAAGTCACCATTTAAAGCTTCTAAAAGAGATGGGTGAGGTTTTGCACTTGGTTCAGGTATCATGATACATTGCAGTATTGCTTGGTAATGTAAGCTGGCAATAGTTATAACATAATAACCTTCTGTAAGAACAGGTAAATCTGGAAGAAAAATAATAAAACTAATTAATGTAGTAAGAATTGCATCACAAAATTTCATTTTTAAATTGGACAGTTATTAAAATAATTTTTATTTATTGGTCTTACAATTCTTGTGAAATTTATTTATTACAAGTACCTCGAAGATAAACCATCACATCATTAGTTCAATCTCTCGTCTTCTAATATCTCTGAACTTTATGAGACATAAACATAAAAGCCGAGCACATGTCAAGATGTACAGCATTGAAAATTGAGCCTTGTACACCATGGGACAGAAAGGAGAATTGCATAACTTTAGTATAAATACGCAGGTAAACAGATAAGACAGGCATAAAACAGTAAACTTACAAAATTTTTACTAATTTAGTACAACTTTTGCATTAGTGAAAAAAAAGTAAGTTTTTTTAGCCTAACCTTATACAAGGTTGTTCAGTCGCACATATATGCATTTCTGATTTCTAATTATAAAAGTAACCCTAAAATACGATAACTATTATAGTTGCCATAAGAAAGGAGAATTGCATAATTTGATTAGAAATATGCAGGTTAACAGATAGGACAGGCATAAAACAATAAAATTACAAAATTTTTACAGATTTAGTACAACTTTTGAAATAGTAAAAAAAGAAAAAAAAAGTTTTTTTTTAGCCTAACCTTATACAAGGTTGTTCATTTGCACATAGATGCATTTTTGATTTCTAATTATTAAAGTAACTTTAAGATAAGATAACTATTATAGTTGCCATAAGAAAGATATATATTCACAAGAACTTGGTAGAATTTCAGATAAGTGGCGGCTATCAGCCAGTTTAAAAATATGGTTTTAAAATAGATTTATGGAAGTGTTAATTTTTGATTATCTCAATAAATTTCATGATTGTAAAAGAAATCTAGATTTTCATGTAACGATTTATGGAAATATTACTTTTAGATAATCTAAACAAATTTCAGAATTCTAAGAAAATTCTAGATTCTTAATTAAAGATTTATGGCATTGTTATTTTTAGATTACCTTAATAAATTTCGCAATTCACAAATCTAATCTTAGCTATAGCCGGCATTAAATTACTTTAACTGTATTGAAATTTTAACCAAATATTTCTTTAAAATGAACTTGTTTAACCCTTTCATGCCTAACGGGACATATACGTCCCAAGCAAATTTCAAAAAAAAATTTCGGGACAGAATGCTTCCCTGTCTAATGGGAGACTTTCCCACCAGCCCTGCCAATATTTTTTGAGGTATTTTCATTCACAGAACATAGATGGCGCTACCGTACATAACGCTGTCTCACTCATAGTTTACACAACCAAAATTGTCCTGTTGTATAAAAAAAAATTTTCGCGAAAGGGTTAAATTATGAATTAAAAAATTAAATATCGAAAAAAAATATATTTTCCTTCTAAAATATTTTAATATATAGACCCTTAAACTATGTAATCAATTAAAATTTTGAATTTGATAAATTGTTTTAGAGGTATGTAACTTAATTTAGTGGTAGCTTTTTGTAAATCAACAATATAGACTTTTGAATAAAACTTACTTTCTAATTCCTCATCACTTGATGGGGTCCAGTTAGCTGCATCACAAGCAGGAAATTGCCTATATGCTTTAAAAATTTCTTCATTTTGAGATGAGTACTGACTTGGGAACAAACTTTTCACATTTTGTACAGGATTTAGGACATCTAAATTACCAAGTTTATACCTGGCTTTAATATTTACAAATATTGTCCGTCTGGTAGCAATATTTTCAGCATAAGACCACCCATAAACTGGTTGTTGTGAGTCCACAGTTTGCATATCACAATAATCGACTTGGATTATAAAACCTCCTAAAGTTACACAGCGCCTCTCTCTATAGCTTAAACTCTCTAGAGCTGTTTTCCAGTATGCTCCTGGTATCATCTTAAATAGAAAAAAGTAAAACAAAATAAAAAAATAAAAATCGAGTTTAAAGAAAATATTAAAATAGATTTTATTAGAAATTCCAGTAAAATTTCTCAGTAGATAGAACTGCCTCTCGCTAATGACTTAAAGATTTTTGAGAGTGCTAGTTTCATGAAAAATTGGCATTGGCGTTTCTAGAAATCAATAGCCAGTTTAAGAAAAAAAATACTATTCAATACTTTAGAATTTTATGTTATTGTGATCAAAAAATTATAATTTAAATCTGCAGATATTTTAATAGTAGTTGAAAAATTTAAAATATTTCAACAAAAAAAAATTAGTTCAGTTGATTACGCAAAAAATAATTAAAAATAAAAGCATTTGGTTTAATTGATTTTGAAAAATATTTGACTCAGTATCAGTTACTAAAATATTTATACTACATGTTGCAGTCTAATCTGACAATATTAAAAAATAAAATGCTTATTTGATAGATATGTAAAAAATTGATTTCAACATGCTTAAAAACGAATTAAATTTAGAACAATTAAAATATTTTTACAAGTGGGCTTTACCAAAATCTATATGCACTTCAAATTTTTAACATAATAGTCATTATATTTTCAATCAAATAATTAAAAGAGGAAAAAAATTTAACAACTATTAACAACTATTAACTATTTAACAACTTAAAAAATATTTTCTTTTAGGCAGTGTTGAGTAATGTTTATCTTTCAAAATTGGTGGGAATTCAAAAAAGTTTATGCACTGGTAGCTTTGAACTTTTTATCCGATAGCTTTAGGGAAAAAAATGAAGCAAATAAAGATAAATTTTTAAAATTTCAAGAGAATAGCTTATCATTACATTCAAATAATGAGAAACTATCAGTAGAACCAAGATAAACAGAAAATATTACTCAAATGTATCAATATCTTTTTAATCATTGAATTACAATGTAAGGGTTTACATATTTCATTTGACAACAAGATATTTTTTATTTCATCAGATTAATTTAATTGAAAAAAACGAATTTGGTTCCAAATAATACAGAGAATTGGAAACCTAGTGTATAAAATAAAATACAAATTAATATTAAATTCATTTTTAATGCAACTAAAACAAGGAAATATAAAAAATTTTAACAAAATACATCTTTTTTATGTGAAAGATACATTTTCTGTATTATTTGGGATCGATTTGTTAAATTAAACACTTCAATAAAAAACACTATGTACTCCATTTTACTTGTGAAGAAGTAAAATAAAAGGCTAAAAAAACATTAATTCATAAAATTTCATCTCAGCTAATTAAAAGTAAGCATTTAAAATTGAAGCTTCCTATTTCCTCTCCTATTCAACTTCTTAAAAATTTGTGGCAAATATGTATTTGTTATAGTGCATAATTTATTAACTGGTTAAACAATAATAATTAAGAAAATTTACTTTTCCATGAAGGCTATGTCCAAAACTGTTTTTATACCCTTCTAGAGTTTTGTATCCTTTTAGAAAAACTGGAACACCACCAGCTCTAAGAACATTTGCTTGAATGAACTGCACTTCATTGGGATGATCTCTAATGATACTTGCAACAGCTGTTACGGCAGGATATCGAACATACAGACTCTCTGGTGTATGTGTGGTATATAACTTATTGGCACAAAAATAATAAAATTACAAAAAATCTAGATTTTATTTTAGACAGAATATATAAAAAATAATTAATTTTTATCAATGCATAAAAAAAAGTTATGCAAAATGATTTTATCACGTAAAATTCATAAAATAGTTTCATATTATAAATTATTCATATAAATATTTCATGTATAAATGTGGAAACAATATTAATACAGTGCTGAAGTCAAGTTTAGAATAGAGGCTATGAAGAAATTTCAGAAAGATATAAAATGTTATGGCTTAATCCAACCGTATTAAGTTTCATTTTTAAATTTTATTTTACACCATTGTATTTTTTTTATGCACTTTAACTGAATTTTTGTTTTTGAACAAAACCCAGATTGTTACAATTTCCCTAATTTTACTGAATTCCATTCTCCTCAAAAATCTTGTGCCAGCCTCGAAAAATCTGACCATGAAATTTTGTTTGGCAAGTAATTTTTTAGCGATAGGTCTCTTAATCTCTTTTATTTTATTATCTTTAACACTTTAGAATCATTGATTTGCTTTTCTAAGAACACAATGTTCTAAAATGAAAACTATTAAAGAGTTTATTATCATATCAAAATAGGGTGCAAAACTTTAAAATTCCCAATAATAAATTAAAAATTAAGTAACCACAGAATAAAAAAAGGGGGTAAGAACAAAAATATCAGCCATACAAACAGTAGTAGATGCCTTTGATTCATAAATTAATTTTAAGGTTTTAAGATCTTGAAGCTTTAGAATTGTGCACTTAAAAGCTTATAAGTTAGACAGCTAAAAAAAAGCCTTATAGCTTTTTTAAAAACTTTTTTTCAATATTTCTTAAACCATCTTCCTTAAAATAAAGTTTATATAATAAGCTTAATCACATTATTTGCTAAAAAAAACAGAACATATGAAAAGAAATATATGAGCCCAAATTTTTAAAGATGAGGTATGCTTTTTTATTTCTTAAATATAATTTTTAGTTTAATAACATTCTCAGACTTACTGAAAATAGTTTTAAAAAAATAATAATTTATTTTAAAACTTACTTCTGTATAATGTGTGGCTTTAACATATGTGCGAACATTAAAACTAGAAAGCACATCATCTGGAAGGTGGCACACTTTCAAGTGAGTAGCAACAAGCACTTGTCCAGGGTGTAGATCATCAACAGGAAACCTCTGAATTTATAGATATTAATTTTTTAAACTCACTTACCAAAAGCTCAAAACAACTTTTTAACATGATAAACTAAAATGAATACTTAAAGACATAGCATAACAAGTAAATTATTTAAAATAATTTTCTACCTTACATAAACATATTAATAAAAAATGATCAATAATGACTGAAAAATGTTCATAGTTTGAGAGGTACATCAATTAATTTAATTATATTCGTAATATAATTTAAATCTGAATAGCTGAAGAATAATTTAATTAGAATCCCAGAAACTGATGATGAGTGAATAGAAAAGATTACATTCGGAAAAAGAATATAAAAGGTTATATTTTAAAGAATTCGTAAAAATCAGCTTTAAACTGATGGTGTAAAAATAATAGAAATCTACTTATAAAGACATATTTTTTCCCTTGGAAAGCAAACGAGCAAACATGTACTAATAGTAAACTTCATAATTAATTATTTATTTAATTTACTTAAATTTTCAATAGCATTTATCAATGTAGTTTCTGTAAATCAAATTATTACTATTTTAATAAAATTATAATATATATTAAATGAAAAATGTTTTAACTATCAGGTTTCAATTCCTAATCATTTGATAACTATAACATAATTTAGATGCAATCAGATCCACCTTAGTACATTCCTATAAACCTTTCAATACCTGATACAAATTTTTATCTTATAACCAAAGTTAAACAGAAGATTCATAGAGCACTTTTGCAATCTTTAATGTAACAATTCTATTTCTGTATCATAGTAATTATGAACTACAAAAAGATGAAGTAAGTCCTAGATCAAGCAACAAACAAGGGGCAACTAATGGAATTATAATATTGAGATAATCATTGAAAATTTTGTATAAATTCGCCAAAGTTTAAAAGCTTAAGCATAGTTTTTAAAAATAAAGTTAAAATTTCATGTTTTTATGGTCTAAAATAGTTTTGTATTCACCCACTAGTTATATTCAGTAACATACAACATGATTAGATGTTGTATATTTACAGAGATCTAATGCATCCTTCATTTCATATATTTTTAAAACAGTAACAGATAGATATAATCACATAAAAAACTCACTAAGCCATTATCATAGAGAATAACCACAAATGGTAATTGACTAGAGCTATCAACAAGTTCAACATATACACGAGCATGAATTTTGCCAACTGAAAATAAATTGTTACAGTTGTTATTAAAAAAAGTTTTCATAACAATATACAGTATGTTTTTAAAAATATGTAACATTGCAAACATTAAAATTTAATATTTGAAATTTAGTGTTATGAAGCTGAAAAAATAACATAAAAACACTTACATTTATATACAAAGCGATGGAATAAACTGACATATGTAATCAAACCAACTATATCTATGGTAGATTCATTGGCTGCCAACCTGTAAATAAAAGACAATTTCATATTTAATATCAACTTAAAATTAATACTGATTTTTTATTTCTATGAAACAGAAATTATATCGCAAATTATCAAATATTAAATGGGTTAAATTTCGAAAATTCAATCGAATAGTAATTAAAACTTTAAATACTTACTCCAATGAAGCTCGATCTCCAAATGAAAATTCCACAACTGGCAATAATGTAATTTGCATAAGAAGTACATTGTTGTCAGGTGGCACTATCTTTACCTTTGATGTGTCACCAATAATAATTTCAATATCGAGAGAATTCAGATTACCTGCATTCCCTCGTAATCGAGGCAAGAGCAACTTTAGGGGTTTTGCAATTGTATAGTTTTCTATCAGCAAAATAGTACCTGGAGTAGCACTAGTAAAAAAAAATTGCTAATTATTGCCAATGTATAGTTTTTACATTAAAATAAGCATATCATATAAACCTAAAAATCTGTAATCAGATATGCATAATATACACGAATGCGTTAATGCTGTTCGAGGAAATTTGACACCATAGTGGAAAAATTTTTAAATATTGCTCATTATAAAAAATATAAAAAACTGTCAAAATTTCCATATTCTACCCCGGTGTAAATTTTAGAAAATTCAGATTCAACAACAGAAAATTTTCTAATTCAATAACTAGTTGAATATCTTCAAAAAATTGCTAAATTTAAAGAAATATATTCTGATATATATGATGATAAATATAGAGTTTTATAAAATTAAAACACTTTTTTAAAAAAATCAATGATTTTTTAACAAATTTTGACAAAATTAGGCAACATGGAAAAAGGTGAAACTATTTACAAGAGTAAATTGCTTGTAGAAAGTTTTTCAATTGAGATGTATTTGCAGAAAGTTTTTCATTTCATCTAAGTCTGTGTATAATTAACAATTATATTAAATAAACTCATCATACGGTTATGCAGGCAAGTAACTAGAGATGTCTCAAATTTTATATTAAAATTTTCAACTTAGACGCTCATAAAAAAAATTTGACGTCTTCACACAGCTTTTAATAATAATATACAATATATTTTCCACTAATTTGATTCTGAGAAAAGTTTCTACCTTAATAGAGATTAGAGAAATAAGAACTCAGATTTGAGAGAAGAATTTAGAAAATGGGATAGGAAGTATATACAATCAAAATTTAAGCAGTTTATATGATGTAAACAAAGCACTTAAGCATTAAGATTGCAAATACACGAGAACTGTGAAGTAATAATTGAACATTCAATACTTATAAATTGAAGTGTGTAAACAGTGCATAACTGAACAATAAAAAGTATAATTATACCAGAATTTATTACTCATACAGCTGCCTTCAATCATGATTTAATATTGTGATAATGAACACAGACCAAAAATTTACTATTTGGTGTGAGGACACAATAGTATTTACAAAAATTTTGTGAAACCCCATAAGCATTGCACAAATCCAACATTAATGCAGTTACAGATCAATAACTTTAATTTATAATTTTAAAATATAGAGCAATGTGAAAATTTTAAATTAGTAACAAACTTTAAAAGCATAATACAACAATAAAAATAAATTCAATTAATTAGGAAAATTCAACCTCAACCATATGATTTACTATTAAGTATCAATGAGAATGGTGGGCCTTTTTTTAATTACATTATCAAATTTTGGCAAAAAAGTCGACACTGCAAGATAAAGCATTTCTGCCGTATTTTTTAGGTGTGATCAACACTTTGATTTTATAGTAAAGACGAAAATGTTGCCTTTCACAATTATCTTTATCCATTTTTAAATACATTACTCAAAAACATTTGGTAATCGTAAAATTATTGTAATAAGTTAAAGAAATATCAACATTAATAAAATTTTTGGCGACCCCTGCTGCAGGTCCTGTAACCCCAATCGGGGTCGTGATCCACAGTTTAAGAAACTCAGCTTTAAAGTAAAGGATGGAAGCAAATGTATCTTTGTGTTAAATTAATCAGAAATATACTTGAAAACACTTTCTTAACAAGCTCTTTAACAACTTTTCATAAAATAAAATTTGATTGTGCACATAATAAAAAAATTAAATAAGGATATTTTGTTTTTTTTAATAATGAATCGTTCTTTGTAAGTAGTGTAGATAGTACAGGTTTTAGATTTTTAAATTAAAATTGCCAATTTTAAAGAAAATACATATATCAAGACTTTTAGATTTTTAAATTAAAATTGCTCATTTTAAAGAAAATACAATCAAGACTAAAAAAAGGTAAATGATTTTTTTTTTTTTGTAAAAAAAACAACTAAACAAAGATACATTTTCAAAATTTGTAATGCTTTTAATCTCAAAACCACTAAATACATTTTTATATTCAAAATAAATCTATAGAATAACTGATTAAATTCTGAGTTGAAATTAAATAACTGAACTAAATTAAATTCTGTAACCTACTTGTAATAGAGAGGTAGAGAAAGTTTGCCAAAAACTACACAGTGACATGTACTTGCAGAATCTCCAACAACTATTTTGGACTACAATATAGAACATATCGTGAAATCAATAATTTGTATGAACTGAATTGAAAACAAACATAGGAAAAAACATTATTATAATTACAATTTTAATTTTGCATTTTTACTATACCTTTTTGAATTCTACATAAACAATTTAAATATTTTTTTTCCAAGTTTTAAATATTAAATTTTCCACGTAAGATTAAAATTTAGAGAGAGAATGTCAGCTTTAACTTTTTATATACATTTTTAATATAGTATATTTTAAGCATCTAACAGGGAAAAAAAGAAAAAACATTAAGAACATAAAAGTGAAGATTGGCCTGCTTTTTTAGCAAACTAATGAACTAATGAAACTAATCTTAACTAATGAAAAGTTGTAATATTAACTCCAATTAATTAGTAATGGTCATAAATATCATAATGANTAAATTCTGAGTTGAAATTAAATAACTGAACTAAATTAAATTCTGTAACCTACTTGTAATAGAGAGGTAGAGAAAGTTTGCCAAAAACTACACAGTGACATGTACTGGCAGAATCTCCAACAACTATTTTGGACTGCAATATAGAACATATTGTGAAATCAATAATATGTATGAACTGAATTGAAAACAAACATAGGAAAAAACATTATTATAATTACAATTTTAATTTTGCATTTTTACTATACCTTTTTGAATTCTACATAAACAATTTAAATATTTTTTTTCCAAGTTTTAAATATTAAATTTTCCACGTAAGATTAAAATTTAGAGAGAGAATGTCAGCTTTAACTTTTTATATACATTTTTAATATAGTATATTTTAAGCATCTAACAGGGAAAAAAAGAAAAAACATTAAGAACATAAAAGTGAAGATTGGCCTGCTTTTTTAGCAAACTAATGAACTAATGAAACTAATCTTAACTAATGAAAAGTTGTAATATTAACTCCAATTAATTAGTAATGGTCATAAATATCATAATAAATTAGTAATTATTTACTCTAATAAGTAAGAAATAGTTAGTAACTTGAATTAAAAATTAATAGTTACTAACTCTAATAAAGGATAAGAAGTTAATTAAAGTATTCATATAGAAGAGACAAAATATTTATGGTGTTCTAAAATTGTGTACATTATATATTTTATAAATAAAGTTTAGAACTCTTAATATCATAGTAAAATAAAAACATAAAGTATCTGCGCACACAATCCAAAAGTACCTGTAATCTCATAATATTTTTGATAATAAAATAATTTTATTAAATGTACGAAATCAGTTAGCTATATAGTATTTTAATTTATTATTAACAATATATATACATATACATGCACATTGATATTAATAGTTATACATGGAACTACAATCATACAAAATAATTATCATATTAAGTAATATTAGTAACTTTGCTCCATACGAAATTACATTAAAAAATTTCCAACTATCACTGCAATAGTCTATTTTTGTTGTAAAGCAAGTCGAGTTGAGTTGTAAAAAATCAGCTGATTGTAAGCTCGACCGATGGGATAAATCATGATTACACCGCCTGCTTCATATACCCCCTGCAAACTTTTCTTGCGCTAGTGGGTACTTTCTTTTATATTACAATAAATATTAACAAAGTATCTGCAAAATTGGAGAATCACCATCAATGTATCCAAGCACGGTGTGTGTGTGTGCTTCTATATCATCTAACTATGCTTAACATATATAACTGGTGCATCACTAATGTTCTCACATAAATCTTTAGAACTAAATGCACATTAATATGTTGGAAAAAACTTGCAAAGCACAGAATTGGTTTGATTTTTCCTTTTTAATTTTACAGAATTTTTTTTCCTACATTCTTAAAGATTAGTCACAACAGAGTGACCATAAACATTCATAAAAAAAAAATTACCTGACTTCCACAGATTGATTGTATTAAAACATTCCTGACTTTTGTAACCAAAATGTAAAAATTTTACTATTAATTTTTCAGATAAGCATAATTCTTACACATAAAATATATTACAAAACACTTAAACTTACAGTTAGGGTTGAAAATTTAAAAAATAAATTTAATTATCACCTAACTGTCTTGGAAAAAACATCCTCAAAAATATTTCCAAGCACTTCAAACTCAAATTTACTCATTTTCCCTAATTTTCGGTATTTTGGTAAATTCCCCGATTTTTCAAGATGGTTCCTGCTCTCCCTGATTTTCTTGTTCTGTGGCCGCAAGTGTACAAAGAATCTAATTACCAAAAAAGGGTGAGATCTGTCATTTTTATTAAATCCATAATAATGTAAAATTCCTCTGGCTAGGACTCGTACAAATAATGTAGGATAAGGCTTTGGCAGTCTCATCCAATCATCTGCTAAATCTTGAAGTGATGAAATATTCTGTGGTACATCCTCATCTTCATTGTACTCAAATGCACCTAAAAAAACAACCTTTTTACAAACATTTCTTAATAATAATTTTCAAGACATTTACATGTGGTAAATTATGATCATACATGAAGGAGAAACAAAACAAAATTTGATTAGAAAGTTCTACAGATTTTGTAGTAAAAATAAAAGCGACAGGGTAAGGCTTTTACATCAATCAATAGTGAGTGAGTTTGTGGGTACATAGTCAATGTGAAATCTCAAACCAATGAGTTCAGGAGGACAACGAAAGTTTATAATAAATAACATATTCATGGGAAAATTAAATCTAATTTATACATTATTTTCCAATCAAGAATTTAAAATTTTTAAATATAACTGGTTAAAAAATGAAGAAAATAAAGTTCTTAAACAAATATAAGTTCCTAAAAGATTTATCATGTCATCATACATAACCATACACAAAATTGAAAAATTAAAGAAATTTACGCAAATGTCTATGTTAAGATAAATGACTTCTCCTAGAAGCGAAAACAAGTAACTTACTGTTGTCAGTACACTCTTCTCCATAAGGCAAAACAGGAATCCAAGGATTAACATAACACTTCCGTCCAGTAACTAAGGGAACAAGATCAGTCTCTCTGTAATTTACAGATTCTGTAAATCTTATTGCACCTAAAAAAGTAAAAATTTAACTAAAACTAAAATCTTATTAAAAAAGTTATTGTTTTATGCTCTAGTAAAATTAAGAGCCTACATTTATTAATAATATATTTAAACTTAATTTTTTTTTCTTCAAGAAAGCCTAAAATCTAAGATTAGCATCAGCATAACTTGGAAAAAAAATAAAAAACGGTGAAAATTAAAATAGTGAGAGGGCCAAAAACCTAGAATGTTTTAAATGCATAAAATATTAAAAGTTTTATAAAGGGAGAAAAAAAATATCACCAAATTATATTTAATTTTATAATCGTCATTGAACAGCCAACCCGATTTTGCATTTACGACTACTAATGTTTTACTCCGTAGCCTTGTAATTTTAAACCTAATTCAGAAGACAAGTAAACTCCCGGAACAAGTATTGGGAGAAATTTGCCTTCCTGGAGGAATTTTTGATGGAACTAACCCTCATTTACATTACGTGGAGAGGACTTTGCATTTTTTAGTTCCAAAGCAATCAGATGACTGATATTTGTAGATCCCTGTTCATACATGCATATTTTATATCAAATTCTTATTATAAACTTAGTTTAAAATGTTTTTGTGAGATTAAAATATTTTCAATTAGAAAAGCATCATATCACGGCCTATTTAAATAAAACAAAATGTCAAACATTAAATTTTAATAATTCAAGTTTTCTAAAATATCTTTAAAATAAATTATACAAATTAAAATTTAAAAATTTACACAATTAACTTGATAAAAAGAAAAAAAACTGCAATTACATATTGAAGGTAGAGCATGACATATGCTTACCAAGGTCTGGAAGAATAATCGGGTCATACTCAACAATTTTTAAAGCCTCTAAAAAAACATACTGGACAATATGTGAATCATTATACTCTCCTTCAAGATAACACAGCTTTGCTTTTTCAATCTGGACATGGATTCCAATTTTTATCTTTAAAAAATATAAAAAGGTAAATTGTAGCATAATAAACAAATATAAAAAGAAATAAAGTAGCAATATACATTTTTGAATTCATACTTACTGCATTTATAATGATTTAAAAAAATGAAGGAAGTTACTAGATAATGCATTTTGGAGTTAGTATTTCTTTTCCTCTGACCTATGATAACTGTAGCGCTAAGTCTCAGCTTATGGTGAAGATGATGGAATGTTCAATTTTTATTTTCCCAAATATAATTTTTTTATGTAGTTCAATAGCACATATGCAGAGTTAGCCCTAAGAATAGAAAAGGGCGGGGTTTTTCCTTACAGAAAAGGGCACTTTAAGTTTTAAAAGGATTTTTACTGTTAAAATTTTTAATCAAAATGTGTAATTTTATGTAAAAACAGAATTTTATCCTCAATTTTTAAATTACCCTCTCATATTATTTAATGTGTATATTTCACATAGTAATTCTCACTCATTATCAAAATAATGGAAAAATTTGAAGTTTTTGAAAAATAAATAAAGGCAAGTTAAAAAAAAATCTTTATGCTTAAACTTTCTTTAAAAAACAGTAAACTTAAAAAAAAAAGCATTAATTGATAAACAATTTTAAAGCTTTCTTTATATTTTAAACTGAAAATTGAGAGAAAATAAACATTTAAAGGAGCATTTTTCTTTTTTTTAAAAAAAAGGTAATTACTTAAAAAAATAATGTCAAAATTTTAAATCAGAAAAAAATTTAGTAAAAAATTTATATACCCTAAATAAAAGATATGAATATCTCCAGGGCCGAAAATCATGTGAATTTTAACTAAATAACTAGAAAACATAAGAAAAATCGTATTAAAATGAAAGAATGAAATTAATAATTAAATTTAATCAATTTTCAATAACTAAATAAATTAGAAGTGAACTTTTCATTAAAACAGGTGGTTAAGAAAACAACCTTTTCCTGAAAAATAAAATAAAAAGGCAGTGTTTTTAAGGGATGGTGACACAAAATGGGCACACATATAGGGATGAAGGGGCAAGTGGGGTGGGCCACCCTTCTAAAATTGCTAAGGGGGAAAACTGCATATGTCAACATTTTAGAAGTAGAAACATTTTATCAATTGACCATTTTTTTTCAATTAAATGCTAACATTTCATTTAAAAAATAAATTTTTAATTCAAATCATAAATACTTCAATTTTCAAAATCATTTTTGTCTTCTTAGAGCAAGTATATACTTAAATATGAACCACTTCCAGTAATTTATAATTCTAATTAAAAATAAATTACAACAGTCATACAAACTTGGAAAAAAAAAACACATTCTTTTAATAAGTTTGTAATAAAAAATAAAAAAAACAGTGTGTCAAAAACTTCTGCCTTGTTTTCGTTTACAACTCTAAGTAATTGAGGCATACAGATCAGAATTTCAAAAGATAAACCTCTTAGAATGCCTGTATTAATCTTTATTATTAGTTTTTTTTTATTTTATATGCATAAATTTAATTAAAATAACTTTAAAGTTACATAAACTTTAATATCTAAATAAACAAAAATGGAAAATATTCTATTAAAGCTTGCAATTGAAGAGATTAGTTGAGAAACATGAAAAGAGAGGATTTGATCAATTAATGATAAAATCTTTCCAGTTTTAGGAATATGCAAAGGACTGCTTTGAGTACAGAACACTAAATCATGCTGTAAAGTCATTTAATAAATTGGCTCTAATTTTCTTCCACAAAGCTCTTCAATTGTACCCTACTGATTGTTTTGAACAATGATCTTCGTATTTAAAGGATTTGAATTAATTTCATATTGAGCTTTATTAAGCATTAAATAGTTAGAGTTTATAATAAATAATTAACTTTCTAAATAAATTTCATACATACCACATTTTTCTGAACCAAGTGGCCTAACGGTAATGCTAAAAAACATTTTAACTTTTCAGCTCCATCTGTGAGTAAAACATCATACAAATAAATAACTTCCTTCTTTTCATCTTCTAAAGGTGGTGTCAATGCTTTCAAAAAATTCAAATCTGCTGAGTAACAGTAAATAGAAATAACCTAAACAAAAAAAATGCAAATATTTTTCATTTGTATAAAAATATGAGAGACATAATAAAGTTTTAAAAAACTGACATGATTACTTCAATTAAACATAATGGTTGGCACCATGGACATACATATACAAAAATCACTAATTTGGCCATTGTTAGATTTATATGATTGGTAAAAAGCCTATAACATATGAATATTTAAAAGGCTTGGGCAAAAAAAAAGAGCCACACTTTTTTTTTTAATATCAACAGCTCATAGATCAACAAGTTTCCTCAATGTGCTCTAAATGGCAGAACAATATGCAGAAACATCTTATTATTATACTGAAATATCAGCGTTTTTTTTTTTACAAAAATTGTTTTGAATGATGTTAAAAAAAAGAACAATTTGAAAAGGTAGCAAATTCATTACATTACTCCAAATTCTACATATATAAGCCACAAGTCAAAATTTCTAGGTAGTTTTTTATTTTATTATATAGTTAAAGTAGGGACTTTTATATATCGAGCCACACATATATAGTGGGAAATTAGTAAAAAATAAACTAAAAACTACCATAAATAAATCTTTAACTGGCTATTTAAGCATAAACATCCAGCGATTAGAACACTTATATCAATTCTCTTAGTTTCACATTGAATTTTTCAATTTACAACAAATATCTGTCATTTTATCTGCAAAATGAGACCAACACCAGCATGAATAGAATACTTAATACATCGCTATGGCAAAAAAAAAAAAATCTCATTTGATTTTAGACTTAGATTTTGAATTCTATGCAAATTATTGAAGGAAAAAAAAGCATATTTGCTTGTATTTAGAAATTAAAAATTTAAATAAAGATATTCATAAACTTATGAATAACACTTGTGAATTAAAGGCTAAAACTCACTAATTGATTTTTCTTTCAACCTGCACTTTGGTTGAGAATTATTTTTTAATTTAAGAAATTTATCTTGCAAAGTACCAAAAAAATTTCAACACACAAACTGAATGATTTTTTAAATTTAACTTTTTATCTGAGAGTTCGGGAAAGCATAACATAATTTTCTTTTCTGATGATCTGTAGTAGAAATCAAATGTAAACAGATAAACCTCATCCCCTCTAAAAACTATACGATTCCATCTGGTGGGAAATCACTGCTCGTACACACCACAAAGAGTATGAAATTCATTAACTTTTAGGAAAGGATTTTTTTCATTAATTTTCAAGATTAAGCCATTCATATTAAGTGAAGCATCAGATTAAAATTTATATCATCTTATTTATATTTATCACAATACACACAGCATAGTACTTAACAAATATTATATACTTAAAAGAATGTTGCTTTCTTATTTTTGCAAATACTAAAAACATAAGAGTGTTTTTATGTGTAAATAATTAATTATTATATGAAAATGTAGAAGGCATGTTTATTTTAAATCAAAGTGATGATTAATCAACAACAAATAAAAATAAATTCTGTGATCAGCTAACAATTAAAAAACAACAATCTGAAAAAGTGATTTATATAAATTAAAAAAAAGGGAAAAGTGATTCCTATAAAAATATCTTCCTAGGTAAGTTACTATATAGATGATAATTTACTTTGAAGATATTCAAATACATAATATTTGATCTCATATCTTAACTTGAAAGCAGTTATATTTGATTGAATAATAGTAAGAATTGATTGAATAAGTCAACATCTTGATAAGAGGTATACACAACAAATTTTTAAGCATCTTATATAAATCAACATCAATGTAAAACTTGCTGGTTTTCAACAAAGGAAAGCGAGATTATATTATTGATTCATGGAATTGAATTAATTGGTTCAGGCCATCACATACTAAACCAAACAAATTAATAGCTCGTAAATACTTTTCTAAAGAATATTAAATGTAAAAGATATTTCCAGCAAAGCAAATATCTCTGCTTCATTTCGGTTAGAATGTGGAATAGGGTGCCCTTTGGATTGGGCACTGTAACCTAGAGGTCTTACTGTATATGAGATCTTCCATTTGATTATTTTTAATGCGAATCCTTATTATTAAAAATCTCATTCTTAAGTAATTTTCCCTGTTTTCTGCAAGAACAAAAAAAAAATTGCCAAAATGAAAGGGGTACACTACTGTAAACTTTCACTAAGTTTTTGATAAAAACAACTAATTTCATTATATAGAAAATTCTCAGTACGGCTAAATTAATAACCGCATACTTGAAAATCACCAGGAACACGAGAACTATCGCTAATTAATTTATATTCCCGCAGCACACTGCGAAGTCTTCTTAAATTTCCTGCCATAATAATGCATGGTTTCGTTTTTATTTATATTTTTAATAATAACGTTGCCATAGCGATAAGATAAATTTTCGGAACTATTCAAAGTTTCACTTCTAATTGCCAATATTCAAAAACTAAATAATGAAGGTCTAAGTAAATCATCATAAACTTAAAAGTTTCAATAAGATTTTAGTTATTCTTGAAGCATAAATTTTTTTTTATATCTTATATATGTTTTTTTCTTACATAAGCTGTGAAAAATTCTGATTACAAATCAAATTTTTTATTTTCTTTAGTAAAAGAATAACTCAACTCCGAATTTCTTAACTATATTGGAAATTCTCGATTTTTAGCCATTTCGTACAAAACAATTTAACTTTTAATTTGTGCACCCCAAGTGACCTACTGTATGTTCCAAAACGCTTTAATTAGCTTTCTTTCATGTATAGTTGGTGTGAAACAAGTTTATTTGTTATTAATTTAATTATTATAGATATAAAGAATAATATTTTTAATGGGCGACCTTTAATTCGTTCAAAATTACTATACGTTTTTTTTTTTTGTTTTTTTACTTTTCTAAATAAAGATTGTTAATATTTTCTTTTGCAAAAAATAAAGAAAAAATTTGGTTTCTTTCTAAAATATAAGTATTTAATTAAAATTTGACTTCTAGTATCTACATATCTTGTTTGGAAAAATCCCATTGGAGGAAAATTGATATTTTTTTATCAAATTCACAAATGCTTATTTAATTTGTTCATTAAAAGTTACATAATTTTATTTTATATTTTTAATAAATTTTATTTAACTCTAAACAGTCTTAAGCAATTTTATATTTACACTAGTTAATAACTTTTTCTTATTTAATTAGAATTTAATATTTTAAATCTCTTGTATAAAAATTAAAACATGTTAATTTAGTGAAAAAGGTTTTTTTTTTTTAAAAAGTGAGTTAATGAGCCTTAATGTTCTTTGCTTGATAATGTATTTCAGCTTTTAAAGAAGAAAATGTTATAAGGATTTTAAAACTACCTGTCATAAGTTTAATATTAGAAAGTTTTTTTGTGTCATTTTAACACTATTGTTATTTACATATTTTGAAATGCCAAGCAACTGTCAATGTTTATCTATTTTTCCCTTCCAAACTACAGCTGTTATATACTGAAAGTGTTTGTTGCCTTGGTACAAATTTGTTGCCAGTACTTGGTACAAATAAAAAGTAGTTTGTAGCTTTTAACTCAGTTTTTCCCTCTTTGCACTGAGACTTTCAAAATTTGTTTATACTTGCCCCTTCCATGCCATTTCTGAAATTGATGCATAATAGACTGTTCAAAAACCACCTAACTTTCTCATGCATCAATTTCTTAAGATGAATGCAAACGAAACATTATGTATGCTTATTCTATGGCTTATATGTAGGGGTATTTACTTTTTGTAGTTTCAAACAACAAAGGGAAATTAGTGTTTTATTTGTTTGTATTTTTAATGAAACAGTGTCGTTTATTATGAGATAAAAGTAGCATATTTGGTTTCATTTATTTATACTTAGGAAACTAAAGTATGCTATACTTCATTATCCTCATCACTTTTTAATTATATAGTGTACTTACGTTTCAATGTGTTTACTGTATTCTTACTGCCTTAATCATCACTGTTTAAAAACAAAGTTTAAATAAAAATTTCTTGACTTCTCTTAGCTTTTTTAAAATATAAGAAATGTAAAAATGAAATTTAAAGCATGTAATATTTTACATGCATGAAACATATAAAGACATTATGTATTTAATCATGTATAAGAATTTTTTATTTGTATCAATTATTATATCTCAGTCAATGAACCGTGAAGGTTAATCCAATAGAGTAAAAGTGAGGAGAAATATAATTAAACTTTTGAAATTGTATGCTTAATTATATTGCAAATTATAGACAATGGTGCTGAAAGCAACAAAAAAGCCTAAAAGCAATAAACAATAGTCCTAGATGCAGTAATATAATAGAAATGTCAGAAAAGACTTTTTTATTTTAAAAAAATCATAAAAATGCATTATTCAATAGACATTGGGTTAAACTGTTTTCATGCTGTTTCAACTCCTAAAAAAAAGTGGTTGAATCACTTATGTAGAAATTTTTTAACGATTACTAAAATTGCAAACTATCACAATTTTTCTTAAATTAATATTTTGTAAGTTCTAATTCTATATTAAAAAAGCTGTTGTATGCATTTATAATTTCTTATTCATCTTATTATTTTTTGTCATACTCTCTTATTTACTCTTAAATATTGTTTGAATCACATTAATGCATTTTATTAAAACTAGTTGTGATATGAAATAAATTTGTGTTGTGATACTAATAAAACTGTTAATCATATTAATAATAAAATTTAAATATATATATTACCCATAAAGATACAATGTCTAGACATTCTATAGAATGTCTGATTTCAAACTTTGCTGGTAGCATATAAACCAAATAAATTAAGCTAACGTTTTTATCTTCTTATTTATAGGCTTGCATATTTACATTGTTTAAGCAAATTCACTTTAATAACCTCATATCTATTTCACCTAATATAGGTTCTTGTTCATAATTTTAATTTTTTAACAAAAATTCTACAGAAAACTGAGCTGTTTTAGAATTAATATGTTTTTCTCTTAAGGATAAGCGATATAGAAAAATTAGTATTCTATGAGTTTGAATTTTGTAGCATTTTTATAAATTCAATTGTTAGCAAAACTATATTATATTCTATGCAAAATATTTTAAAATTTGCAACAGTGAACAATAATGGCTTGAAATATTTCTTGAAAATATATGCATGAAATGCATATATTTTACATGCTCAAGAATACTTGTTAAAAAATAATCTTTTACAATTAATGTATCACTACTTGAATTTTTGAAATTCAAGGATTAGGAACCTCTTGTAAACATTATTATTATGTGTAGTATAAAATTGTGCTGTGTAACATTGATAGTTTTGTAAAGAAGATAATGAATTCAATAATTTTTAAAATGATTCTTATTTACAGGTATGAAACTGCTTAAATCAAGTTGAAATTTTCTGATGAAAGTTTTGTGTATGAAATAATGTCATAGGGAGACTCTATGATGCAATTATGATTTATTCTTTCTACCTTGAGACAATGCTAAGGTAAATTTTTTCTAATATAAATTATGAACTATTATAATTAACATTTTGTTAAACTTTGCTGTATTTTGATGCAAAACTATAAAGGGTATATTCCTAAGAAAAAATCAAACATGTAACAAAACACTAGTCTCAAACAGTTGACATTTGTGATGTTATTTTTATCATATATTTTGGATTGTTTAATATTATTTCATAATATCGTATCATAATGCTTCTATGAAAAGTTGTTTCTGATATTCTGGGTAAAATTTATTTATAGTTTTTTTGTTTGTTTTTAATTATAATTTACATGAAACTCCTTATTTAAGTACATATATAGTTTTTGCTAGATGTTTAAAATATTCATATAGCTGAATAATTATTTTAAAAAAAATTTCCTTAAAGTATTTTCAGTGCTAACTACATTTTAATTTTAACTACAGAGTTATTCATATCTTTTTCTAAATTTATTCATTTTAAATGCATATATGCATATTTTTTTTAGTGTACCTAAAATATTCACTTAAGTTGGGGAAAAATCATTTATGAATAAGGTTTATGCCAGTATGGCCACAATTGTCGTCAAATGTTCAACAAATGATTTTACAATTAGATACGTGGTCGACAAAATTGCTGTCTTGAAACATGTTTCGAAATTACAAAATAATAGCAGAAAATAGTTTTTTGCATCTAATGCCATACATTTAAAATTAATTGTTGTACTAATTTCATTGTTCTCCTCGTAGGTTAGATTTTATTTTTCAAATTTTTCAAACAGAATAATTGAAAGTGTCTGGTACAAAAAATTTTAAATTTAAATTTTGATATTTCTAATTTACATGTTGTACTAGGCTTCTTTGTATTCATGTACTGGCAGTTTAATTTGTCATCAATAAAACATTGTTTTTTGCTCTTTTAGATTTGACTTTATTTATAATTTTATACTTTTTATATAATTGATTTTTAATATAATGTTTTGTTAGTGCTTACGTTCTCTGTTTTCTTCATCTATTTATTTATTTGGTTTAAGCATTTTAATTTATATAGTGAATCTGTTTACGGATATTATTTTAGCTTTTTTTCATTTAATTTTAATAAATACACCTTAAAAAATATGGGGTAATGAACCTAATTAGTTTTAGGGTGTAATAGATGGCAATTACTAATTTTTGATGTATTTTTTTTTGNTACGTGGTCGACAAAATTGCTGTCTTGAAACATGTTTCAAAATTACAAAATAATAGCAGAAAATAGTTTTTTGCATCTAATGCCATACATTTAAAATTAATTGTTGTACTAATTTCATTGTTCTCCTTGTAGATTAGATTTTATTTTTCAAACAGAATAATTGAAAGTGTGTTGTATAAAAAATTTTAAATTTAAATGTTGATATTTCTAATTTACATGTTGTACTAGGCTTCTTTGTATTCATGTACTCACAGTTTAATTTGTCATCAATGAAACATTGTTTTTTGCTCTTTTAGATTTGACTTTATTGATAATTTTTATGTAATTGATTTTTAATATAATGTTTGTTAGTGCTTACATTCTCTGTTTTCTTCATCTATTTATTTATTTGGTTTAAGCATTTTAATTTATATAGTGAATCTGTTTACGGATATTATTTTAGCTTTTTTTCATTTAATTTTAATAAATACACCTTAAAAAATATGGGGTAATGAACCTAATTAGTTTTAGGGTGTAATAGATGGCAATTACTAATTTTTGATGTATTTTGATTTGATTGCTTTTTACCATAACAGAAATTATGCAATTGTAAAATTCAGTTTTTTTTCTCAACTTTGTCTACCATATTAAATTTTTGACCCACTAAATGAATACCTAAGTAGTTTTATTGGACCACTAAATTTTCATTACTAGTGTGAACCATATTTATGACAGTTTCTCTTTGTTTCATAAATATTAACTACTTATTTGTTTCATTTAGGATATTGATATCATTCAAATAACTTAAGAGTAGTAAAGCTTTTTACTACATTAATCCTACACTATGAGTGAAAATAACACTACTTCATCAGCTACAGTTATGAGATTAAATGTTAGTTCTAACTCAAATGGTATTGTTTTCAATGCTGCAAGTATCAATTCCATTTTGAAAACAGTAAATTTGCCGAACTCAAATCCTGTCTCTTCAAATTCTACCAGCAAACTCTCTTCAAATTTGACTTGGAATTTCAATGATAGCCTGAATTCTAAGGAAACGAACAATTTAGACACATGTTTTCAAGCGGAAAATCTTCAGCAGTTGAGCACCAACGTTTTACCTCCTTACATTCCGGGTTCTCCAACAAGTGTCATAAATCTGGAGAGTTTTGAGTTTCATTGTTGCACTGACTGTGGTGACACTTTTGCCCTCAAATCTAGTTTAACCTTTCATTTAGAAAGGCGATCTATACTTATAAGATTCCCTTGTGCTGTCTGCAAATCTGTTAAAACTTTCTATAATCGATGTATGTTACTCTCCCATATTAGATCGCACACTGATAAAAATAAAGCTTCAGATATTACAAGAGCTGTAGTTATTCCTCTACCTCGAATTCAAATGGATGGTCTACAGACTGAGTCATCTAATGTCCCGGATGACGAGTTATCATCATCAGCAGAAGATAACAGCATTCCTCCTTCTGATCTTTTAGAATGTTCTTTAAATGTTCTCGAAGGTGATGACCTCTCCTCGGATAAAACATCAAATGAAGATAGTAAAAATGCTGTTAAGGTTAAATGTCTCGATTGTAATGAAGAGTTCAACAGTACTGAAGAGAGAGCTCAGCATTTAACCCAAGATGACAAGATACCAGTAATTGTCAATCAGTGTAATAAGTGTAATATGGTTTGCCCTTCTAAGTGTTTCCTGAAAGCTCATCAGAGGATACATCTTCAAATTAGTCCTTATGTGTGTCCAGAATGTGGAGGAAGTCCTACTCCTGTATGGATAGATTTCCAATATCATGTAAAGTTTCATTGTTTTCACAACGCTAGGGGTATTGGTTACAAATGCCCTGTGTGCAAACGCTTATGCGCAACTAATGATGCTTTGCTTAAGCATATGGAATTACACACAGAGAAGTATGCTAAGTGCAATTCCTGTCCAAGAGCGTATATGAATGTTGGTTCTTTTAATGCTCACATCAAACTTTATCATGCTGATGATGATACTTCTAAGTTGAAGTATAATATGATTTATAAATGCTCATTATGTGATATTGTTTTCTTAAATCAAGAGCAAATGCTGGCTCATAGATCAACTCATCTCAAAGAACAAATTTGTGAGTACGTATTTAGCTGTATGCAATGTGGTAAACCGCATGAAAACAAAAAGGACCTGTCTGAACATATTAGAACATATCATCCAAAAATTTACAAATATCTAGTAACTAGTAAGCAAAACAGTGAGTCTAAAAATAAAAATACCGATACGATAAAGCCATCATTTCTTGGTAAAATAGAATGTATTTATTGCAATTCCATTCTCTCCTGTTATCAGGGATACAAAACTCATCTTGCCAAAGCCCATGCAAATTATAATCAACCTTGTGCATATTGCTATATGGTATTTAATAGTAGAGAAGATATGATAAGTCACGGGAAAAAGCACTTAAATAAGGGTTCATATTTATGTCTTTTGTGTAACAACAAAAGATGGAGTGATGAAAAACATTTAGAAAACCATTTGCGGAAACACGCAGAAACAGTCCAGCATTGTACAGTTTGTCCAGTCTGTGATGAAATTTTAAAAACGCCCCCAGAAGTGGCGAGTCATTTGCGGGAGGAACATAAGTTGTTTTTTAAAGTGGATAGTTTCACAAAGCAATCTAAGGAAATCGTTACCTGCCATTTCTGCCATGACTCATTTGGTAAATATGCATTTTTGTTCAATGTAATATTGCATTTTTTATTATTGTACTTTCAATTCATAGGGCTAATTATATCTGATATAATGTTTACAATTTAAATGCAAACTTCAACCCTAGTTTGAGACCAATTTCCATGCTTATGTGTGATGGTATTTAAAATAATAGAGAAAAAATAATTCTCTGCCAGGTTATCTTGGATAAATAAGGATGTACTGAATATGAGTAATGCTTTTGGCTGAAGAATGAATATTTGGCTAGCTGTATACTAATCACTTAATATTCTACCACCAAATGGTTTTTAAATTTTACCACCAAATGGTTTTTAAATTTTACCAGTAGTTAAGTTTTTGTGTAAAATCATCTAGTGGTTACACAATGTTTTTATACAAAAACCGTTTGTGGCATCTATCCTTCTTGTGGTAACACAATGTTTTTGTACAAAAACCTCTTGTGGTATCTATTCTTCTTGTGGTAACAAGTACTATAAATTTAAAATTATCTTCATGAAATGCTTTATCGTATGAGTAATTTAAATTCCACAAATAAATGCCGAATAAAAAGGCGAAAAATAAAATATTCTTTTTCTACGTATAGTAAAACTAAAAGTAGTGGCAGTAATAGCTAAAACTTAATTAGTCTCTTAGTTTTAAAAATAAATTGCCCATTTATTATTTCTTGGAAAGTGCAACTATTGAAATTAAGAAATGTGTGTTCCAACATGAATATTAATAATATCTTGTATATTAAATTTTGATTAATTATGCTTCATATATATTAAGTTTCAATATGAATTTGTTCATACAAATAAATATAACACAAAAAACTATTTAAATATGTCCTAAATTACATGACAAAATAGACTCAAATGTTTTTGTTTCATTTTTTTAAGCGGTTAAAGAAGACATAATTATAATAATACATAAGTATAAAATAATCACATTTAAATAAGCATAATTACTATTTTAGGCAAGAAGAATGTGTGCTTTACTAATATAATGCATTCACGCACATTGAAAGTCACGTATGTTTCTGCTGTAGCCTTCTTTATATTCCAAAACCAGTTTTCCCATATTAAGACGGGCCTGTGGAAGTGTTGCATAGAGTAGAAATATTTTTCTAGATTTGCCGATTTTTACAAAATCAACAGTGGGGTTGAAAATGTAGGGAAAAAGTTCATAATGGATATTTCATTCATGCAAATTTTAACCACGCAATCTTTTGACAAGAAACCTCAGAGCAGGTTAGGGTACAATATTTAACTCGTGCAATTTGAATTTAAGATCCAGGGCTGATTGTGCTCCGGAAAATATCCGGATTTCCGGATATTTCGCCAACAGGAATCCGGAAGTTTCCGGAGATCGAAGGTCCAGACGTTTAAAAAAATCATTGATCACAGAAGTTTCCGGAAATCAAATTTTCAAAGGTTGAACTTAAAAACACAGTTTATTTTATTTGTTTGTAAGGGAGAGCCAGAGAGATACTTTATAGGCTTATATTCATGATTAATATTAATTTTTTTTATCAGTAAATAGTTGTTAAAATCATAAACTCAAGAAAGAAAGACATATTTGTAAATTTTAATTATTTCTCCAGGTTATCATGGGTATGTGTAAATGGTATAGGTATGTGTAAAATTTTAAATATATTTTAAGTAAGCTAAGAAATATTGAGAAAAAGGAAAAAAAACTAGTTTAAATTTTTTTCTGATTTTTCAATTTAAACCGTTTTTTTGTTTTTTTTTAACTCAAGAAATTTTCCGGAATTTTGACTAGGGCTCACAATCACCCCTGAAGATCAATAAGTCTAAAGTTAAGGCTTTTCAAAAAAGAAATTCTAATCTAATAAAAAAAATGTGTTAATTTTTACGATAAGTATGAAATGCAAAGCAGTTACTTTTATAAAACATTCATTACCACAAATGTGTAAGTAATTATTTTAATTATTATTTTCTGATTCATTTTCAGCTAAGGATAGTGAACTTCAAGATCATTTGAAATTGAAACATCAAATAGACAGTGTGAAACGTCATACTTCTACCGAGAATGAAGACAAAGACAGTGATAATGTGTGTAAAAAATCCCGCATTGAGGGAAATGTCTGTACTAAATGTAACTACCATTCAACTGTGCGGGAAGATTTCAAGAAGCACATACTCTCTCATAAAACAAACAAAAGTACTTCTCAGTGTCAGGAATGTGGACAATGTTTTGTAGTAGAACCGGCATTAGTTAAACATTTAAGAATCGCTCATAAAATTAGTGATACCAAAAAATACATTGAGGAAGAAGGTACAAACTGCATGCCTGATTTTGAAAATCCTACTGAAGTTTCTACTTGCAATTCTCTCATTTGCAATGTTTGCTTTACAACATTTTCCAATGAATCATCCCTCAAAACTCATATGCGAAGCCATGGTATGGCTTTCATTCAAGCTGCAAAATCAAATAATACTTAAATTGTGTTATTTAAATCATTCCATTATAATTATTCTATCTCTATTTTTTTTTTTTTTCATTAGATTTTGTTTAAATTTTAGTTTTAGATTATTATAAATTTTTTTTGCATATATTTCTTTCAAATGCAATTTTAGAGAAATTTTAAGATTGCAATAAGTAGATGTACGATAATTTGACAGGGTGCGTAGCTCTTTTACAAAGTGCGTAGTGCTTTTACAAAGTGCGTAAAGGTGCTTAATTTTGATTTACGTTTTTTAAAAGCCCTTTAAGGTGCCTTTTTTATTCGGGGTTTGTAAAAAGTGCTTAATTTTCAATCTTTTTAAAAAGAGATTTTTTCTTTACCCTGTCGATTGTCATTTTAAATTACAAAAATTGGATGATTTTGACAATTTTCTCTGCAATATTTATCAGAAACTAGTTATTTTATAATGAATATATGAAGTTTTTGAAAATTTTTTTGAATTTTATTGATTTTATGTTTATAAATTTTAAGAACTTGAAACAATAGAAAAAGATGATTATAATTACTGTACAGGTCCTAATTATGAATTTTTTTTTTTTTAGGAAAGTGTTTAAAAATATTTTTTTAGTGCTTAAAAAGTACTTATGAGGTGCTTATTTTTTGTTGAAAAATCTGGCTACGCACCCTGTTTGACTATAACTGTAACACATTCTATATTTTATTTCATGTTAATGAATCTCAACTTTCACCCCACTTTAACTCAATTTTTAATAAAGCCGACTTGATCTCTTATAGCTAAACTACTAAGCAAAAAATAAAGTAAATAACCACGACCAAGGAAGAAACAATTTCTTCCCTTTTTTCTTCAAATCTATCCATAATCACCAATCCTCTTGAATAAGTTAAGACAGTGGGAGAGTAAATCTTTGGTGAATGAGTAGGCTTGTTTCCTTTGTCAGCATCAATGATGCTCTATATTGCTTTGAAATTCGGCAATGTAGGTTTTCAAACTTATTTATTTAAATTTTACCAAAATTTAGTTCTGCTTTGTGTTAGAATTCGACTCTAAAAGATGTATAAGAGAAAGTTAAAAACTCTTAACTTAGAAGTAAAAGTGAATCTTCGTGATTTGAAATCCAACCAATTACAAGAAATAGCATTGAAATGTGCGAATTCCTCTAAACACCCTATTAACAATATTAAGAGAAAAATAAAATGTCATTAAATGTGATTTTATCAGTTTGCTATTAAAACGATAATTATAATTTATTTTTTTTTTTTAAATTTGGAAACCGAAACTGTTGAATTTCTGATAGTTTGAATTTTTTGTCTGACTCAATTAGATTAAAAGTTATCATGTATTGACTGGACCCTTGTTTTTGTGGTCAATTTTTATTTGTAGAAAATGCATTTTCTTTAACATTAAAAAAGGAAATTATTTTTAATATTTATTTGTTGTTTTATCTTTAATTTACAAATGAATTTTGAATTGTAAGGTATATAAATTTTTTGCTCCAAATTAATCTACCTAATTTTAAATGACAAAATCAAGAAATTTAAAAAGAATTAAAAGAAATCAGTTGCGTTCTTGAAAAAAAATTTGGTTTCTTTGACATGCTGGACACACAAAATTGACATTCATGAAGAAAAAAATTAAATAAATTTGTTTTTTGAAACCAGTGGTATACTTTGATAAAAAAGGAACTAAAAATTCATAAAAAATAAACAAATATTTAAAAAATTATGATAATAGTTGGTATTAGACATTCTTTATTATTGTTTTATTCTAGTATTTATCGTGAAAATAAAAGTCTTCTTACCTTTAATGATTCCAATTACCGGGTATTTATGTTGTAATTGAAAAAAATTATCTTGTTACGTTTTAAAAATGTTAACTAAATGTATCCCTGTATATGTTCTCTTCAATTTTTTATTCATGTGCTAACTTTGAATTTCATATCTATGCTCTTTTGTTTTGTTATAACTTAGACATTCTTTATGTTTTCCTTATGTTATTACTCATTGCATTGTAAAATTTTGTGAAAATGCTCTTAAATACATGAGTATAGCAAGAAAACCTCTAGTATAATGGATATTGTAAACTGTATTTAAACTCAATCTCATATGTTGAAATGAATGTATTTATTATGAAGGTTATGTTTTTAGTATCTAAAGTGTTGACTGTTATGCTATTTGAGATGTGTACATGAACTCTCCAGGTAAACATAACGCTTTGCCAAATGGAGTTCCTGAAATATTATTTGCTTATTCTCACTTTATATTTTTCAAGACTAAAGGGAAAATTATTGACATTATAGGCACTTTTATATAAATATATATTATGATATAGATAAATATATTTATGATATCCATTTTATTAGATAATTTTTGTTAACCCCTGCATTTATTTAAAATATCTACTCATGTCATTTCTTTCCCTTTAATTTCTCCACAAATTTACCATTTAAATTCATTTTAATAATTAAAAAAAGAATTCTTACTGCTGTTTGTTAATCCCAATTACTTACCTCCTCTTTTGATTGGAAGTAAGTGACTTGTGCACCAATTTTCCTCTGTTCCTCTTAAGATAGTTTGGTTATTGTTTTGCATGAGTCTGTGTGCATCAATAATAATCAGTGCATCAAATTTTTTACCTGAATATCTTATGGTTTTTAAGTCTGGTGAGATCTTTATCTTTGTTAAATCAGTGTTCTCAAAACTCAGTTTGGTATATTGGTCTAATATTACTCTACCCTCTTACTTAAACTTTAATTGAATAAATCTATTGTTTTTAAGATTTTTCTATTAATTTTTCCTATAACATCCAAAATTAATACAGTCAACCTGAAAGCTTATATTACCTGTATGCTCCTCAAGTGCTTTACCTTCTAATAAGCATGGGTTACATTTTTCTAGTTTAATGCATACCAAGTTCTATCCCAGGTAGTGGCCCTATCAGCTTGTCTGGGATGTAAAGCTGGACAGCGTGAAATGCAAACCATGTTGCCACTATTGTGTTGCTATTTTGCAAGGATTAGCTGTTGCAGAAATTTTTTAGTTAGCTTCTTTAAATAATCTGTCTTTCTTTTATTTTGTTCTTTTCCCTTGTATTTAGTGAAAGACTTAGTTTTAGTACAGTTTTAATTTGTTACTCTGCGTTTGCAATGCTTGTGTTTCTTACTCTATAACTTCTTCTGGCTGTAATGCTATTAACCTTTAAATTCAATCCATTTGTACACTATCTATTAGTTTAGTTGTTATAAATTAAAACTCAACATCATTAATCAATGTTGTATTACATTTAATGCAACTATCAGATTAAACTATTAGACTAATATTAGATTAAATTTTTTACTTGATGAAATTGTTTCTATTATACAGTCCAGTTACATTAATATGACCACCTGTCTAAGTCAGCCAGAATAACCACTTTTTGCAGAGCAGACCACTGAAAGGTTCTTGAAAGTGTTCACTGGTATGTTTAGCCATGCCGACTCCAGGGCATGTTCAACCTAATCAAGGTAGTCCTACAGATTGTTTTATTTATTTAAGTTCACGGAGCTTGGTAGCCAGAGACGTAAGATAAACTAATCCTGGTTCACATGTTTCTGATTTTGGATGGTGCGATTTTGACATTTACGATATACTTTCACCACGCCGTCACGTGAGCAGTTTTCAAAATGAGCCATTTCGGAAATGCATCTATCCTTGGCTCAAAACAAATTATCATGTCTCTTTGGTCATCTGATAAATTGGTCCTTTTCTAGGTGATGCCAATTATTGTAGTGTTCCTTGGACACCCTTTATGTAACAGAATGTGTAGCGTTTTTAAAAAGTGCTTAAAGGTGCTTATTTTCATTTTTTAAAAGCCCTTGAAGGTGCTTTTTTCCATGGATGTTTTTAATAAGTGCTTAATTTTCCCTTTTCTGAAATGTGATATTTTTCTTTACCTTGTTGATTTTCGCCTCAAATTATGTAAAAAGACATTGCCCTATTCAACGTTTTCACAATTAATTCAACCCCAATTTATTTCAGCTTACCGCCAGTCTGTAGTGTATGAAAAGCACCATTTGTATTACATGTTTGATTAAATACTTGCGAGACCGCACTTAAACTGAGGGACCGCACGTAAACTGAGCTGGATTCAGTGGTAACGATTTTTGACTCTCATGTGCAACCCTGCTGCATTTTGCAAGAGATTCTCAATTTCAGACTTCATTTTCCGCCCTCTGTAATAGAAACCAAAAAATTCTAATTTTTGCTGATAGCTGGTAGCAACTAAACATTGTCAATTTTTTTTTCTCTATTAATGATAGAAAATTTCATCTCTCTTGTTAATTTCATCGTGTGTGACGTGCCATCGTTTTCGTCGCTGTAAATAAAACCATCAATTGTCAAAACTTGCCAACCCTGTCTAATGATATTTTTCAAAGTGCTTGAAAAGTTCTTATTTTTTGTTGAAAAACTTGGCTATGCACCCTGTATGAGCTGCACTGCAATGTGATTTCTTCTGTGATTGGTTATTTCACATTGATCCCGAAATTTGGTGGTGGACATTAATGTAACTAGACTGTTTATTTGGAAACTGAACAGCATCATATAAGATAAGTTTCCTTTACATGCAAAAACATTGCAGCGACATCTATCGAAATGCAATCTTTAATAATATATGTGTGTAGAAAGATAAATTGTTCACGATAAGTTGGAAATTATCAGATTCTTGCTTCTTTTTCAGTAATTTCTTTTAGAATATTTTTCTTATAAAATATGTATAATTTATTGTATTTTCAGTAAAAAATTTTATGATTTGAAAGAGGCTAGTTCAAATTTTTTCTTTATTGTTTTAAATAAAATTAGTTTATTACGATTTCTTTAATACTGTGTATTTTTTATGATAAAAATTTTGTTAATTTTTATAATATCTTATGAATATCATAAGAATTTAATTATGCTGTGCATATAACTGAAATTACATAATTGTTAAATTACCGATTGTGTTCAACATTTGAAAAATGTTGAATATGTCTTGTATATTTGTAAAACGTACTATAAAATTGTTTAGTACTTTTAGAAAATAAAATACATTTATTTTTTTTACGTATTGTGTATTTATTTCAGTAAAACTGCACACTTTTTTAAGCAAAATATTTCCTTTTGTTATCAGAGTTTAAAGGATTAATTTCTTTGTTGTTGAAAACTTGCATAATTTTTTTTATTAAATTATTGCTTTTATAAATATAAATCATAAAATATAGAACAAGCAAAATCTAGAATTTACTCAAAACGATATTTATAAATATTTGGCATTATATTTATGGCTGGAAAGAATCTTCCACCCCCTCGAAATTTCAGAAATAACTATGGATTGATATTCTAAAAAGGTAAGTGTTAAAGAGGAAGGATTAGCATGGTAACAGTCTTCCTTGGCCAGTCCACCCGCCTGCTCATTGCCGTATATGTCGGCATGAGATGGGATCCACTGAAAATAAATATCGTGGAATTTTGAAATGAGTTTGAGGAGGATAGAAATACTAGTTTGATCTCCAATTGCAATCCAGTTGTGGAGGTGTTGAAGAGGTCATCAAAGTCCTTTTCATTAAGAACAGCTTCAAGGCCTTGTAAAATTGCTATTAATTCACTCTTGAAGACCTGTGAGAAATCAGGGTTGTGGAGGCAGATGGTCATTCTATCCCCTGGTTTCTTAATGTAGATGCCACTGCCTGCGTGATCGTCCAGTTTACTGCCGTCGGTAAAAAATTTTATGGCATTGTCGGAGATCTTATTTATGATTTCTAAGGCCAAGTGTCTGAGATGAGCTGAGATCAAGTCCTTGGTGAACGGGGTAGTCAATTCGAAGTGGAAATGAACTCTTGGGAGTCCCTCGGAGGGATTCAGAGACAAGATTTTAAGGAGTGGGGCTCAATTTCATTATAAGGCAAACGCATATATATTTAACGCATTATAAGGCAAGGTATGTTTTGACTTATTATTTGTAAATTTTACATACAAATAATGCCAACATTGATCAAATTCACTCGTCTGAGTCCAGTTATGAATATAATATCGATAAATTTTACTAAAGTTTGAATTAACATAGTTTTTTTACATTCAAAAACTGCGAGATCCTGCACAAAGTAGCCCCACATGACTGTGATTATAATATGAAAGAGTTTTTCTGTTAATTATTAATTTTCGCAAACAATATTAACTCTCTTGAGAGGGAGTTAATATTGTTTGCAGTTATACTTTCAGTTATTTAACTCCTAACAATCCCTCTTGAAATGTTCAAAACTATTGTTTATACGCCATCTAAAATACTATGGGCATGAGAATTACATACTTTCCCTAGACAATGTATATAATATGGTTTGGTAATTGAAAATCGCAGAAAAAAAGCACATTATTATTATTATTTTCTATATTACAGAATTGATTAGCATTTTCTTTATTCCATAAATCTATATTTTGTGAAACATTAATTTTATCGTTATTAGTTATTAATAATGTTCGATTAGGAAAACATCAGTAAAGAGTATACTGGGTCCACTAATCTCTACCGCAGTTTATTATCCTGTTTAAACTAATTTGTTAATTATCAACAGTACATTGTTATTGCGCAAAATGTATGGCTTTTTTTATAATGTTAGTAAGCAAAATAAAATATGGACCTATCTGTTGCACGAAGAAATTACTTTCAACTACTATTAATAAATGATAGGCCGAGATAACCTGGTTTGCAGGGCACTGGACTCACATTTGTGAAAACGGGAGCTTTAATCGAGTTGTAGTATATAGTGTCTGATACACTTTAAATATGTCGGGTTACAAAGTCCTCCATGCTCCCATAACAAATTATACCTCTAGGGGTGCTGAATTGGAGATTGATCATTCTCTGGTTCAGGTCAAAATTACGATCTGTGGATGAATGAATGGGTCCGCCCAATGAGCGGGTAAAGCAGAAGTCGAATTCTAGGCCATAGATGGCGCCACTGGAAAACAAGAACAATCGCAACCCTTGTCTTAATAGCATACGACAACACCAACATTTATAAATGATTATCAGATTTGCAGGGCACTGGACTCACATTCGTGAAAACGGGAGCCTGAATCGAGTTGTAGTATATAGTGTCTGGTACACTTTAAATCTGTCGGGTCACAAAGTCATCCATGCTCCCGTAACAAATTATACCTCTAGGAGTGCTGAATTGGAGATTGATCATTCTCTGGTTCTGGTCAAAATTACGATCTGTGGATGAATGAATGGGTCCGCCCAATGAGCGGGTAAAGCAGAAGTCGAATTCTAGGCCATAGATGGCGCCACTGGAAAACAAGAACAATCGCAACCCTGTTCTTAATAGCATACGACAGCACCAACATTTATAAATGATTATCAGATTTGCAGGGCGTTGAACTCACATTCGTGAAAACGGGAGCTTGAATAGAGTTGTAGTATATAGTGTCTGATACACTTTAAATCTGTCGGGTCGCAAAGTCCTCCATGCTCCCATAACAAATTAAACCTCTAGGGGTGCTGAATTGGAGATTGATCATTCTCTGGTTCAGGTCAAAATTAAGATCTGTGGATGAATGAATGGGTCCGCCCAATGAGCGGGTAAAGTAGAAGTCGAATTCTAGGCCATAGATGGCGCCACTGGAAAACAAGAACAATCGCAACCTTTGTCTTAATAGCATACGACAACACCAACATTGATAAATGATTATCAGATTTGCAGTTCGTTGGACTCACATTCGTGAAAACGGGAGCCTGAATCGAGTTGTAGTATATAGTGTCTGATACACTTTAAATCTGTCGGGTCACAAAGTCCTCCATGCTCCCGTAACAAATTATACCTCTAGGGGTGCTGAATTGGAGATTGATCATTCTCTGGTTCAGGTCAAAATTACGATCTGTGGATGAATGAATGGGTCCACCCAATGAGCGGGTAAAGCAGAAGGCGAATTCTAGGCCATAGATGGCGCCACTGGAAAACAAGAACAATCGCAACCCTTGTCTTAATAGCATACGACAACACCAACATTTATAAATGATTATCAGATTTGCAGGGCGTTGGACTCACATTCGTGAAAACGGGAGCTTGAATCGAGTTGTAGTATTTAGTGTCTGATGCACTTAAAATCTGTCGGGTCACAAAGTCCTTCATGCTCCCATAACAAATTAAACCTCTAGGGGTGCTGAATTGGAGATTGATCATTCTCTGGTTAAGGTCAAAATTACGATCTATGGATGAATGAATGGATAAAGCAGAAGTCGTATTCTAGGTTATAGATGGCGCCACTGGAAAACAAGAACAATCGCAACCCTTGTCTTAATGGTATACGACAACAACAACATTTATAAATGATTATCAAACTAATAAAAAGCTTGAAATAATAATATTTCATATCTTATAATGCCTGGGCTAAGTGACGAATTGTTTAATCAATTCGTACTGTATTGTAGGCTTTTTTGCTACACTTGGGGCATACATTAGATTGAAAAACTAAATGAAGATTTGTTTGAATTCAGTAAAAATTTCAACAAAAAGAATAATAAATCAATATTGGGAATTGCTTATGTTTTGGCAATCAAAGATCACCTATTTTCAAATAATCATTATTACAAATTCAAGTTATGATTAATTCCAATATCTCGATTCTTTTTTATTTCTTCCTTCTTTTTTAAATCGATTTGAAAATTAAGCTCTGTTCCATTTTTGGTATTTTAAGTTTTATAAAAATGGATTCTGAATGCTGGCTAATCATCAGATTTCTACATGAAAATTAATTAATCTCGCATAACATTTTATTGAGCAAGTAACAGATATAAACTAATTTTGTAAATTGTGCAGCAGCTCTTAAAAAAAATGTGGTAAATTTTTTTTATTTTTTATTTAGTTAGTCTGTTAAATCCGTAAAGTATTTTTTTATTTAAATTGTTTGTTTGCAGTTGAGTTTTTTTAAAGTAATATTTCTGTATTCCCATTAAATTAAATAGGGTTGTTGTTGTTTTTCAATAAAATATCCATATTTTATAAATAATGTGCATAAGAATAGAGTACTCGCCTTCCATTGAGGTGACCCAGATCCGACTCCCAGCGAGGCTGGTCTACACAAATTCAGCACCTGGCTCGCACCAACCACTGTGTTGTCGTAAAATATCATCTGTCATGGGTTCGAGTCCCCTTGTCGTCAGGCTAGCCGTTGGAGGTTTTCGTGGTTTTTCCACTCCATATAACGCAAATAGGGTTATTTCCATTAAAGAGTCCTCTACAAAAGCAAATTTCTCGTAATGCTTGATCCAGAACTTCCCTTGTCTTCTCGATTGGGTTTAAAATTTCAAGGCAATGAAATTTTAATATTGGTATTCGTAAACTGAGAATTTGGTTGGCTGTTCAGCACAAGTTATAAAATAAAATAAAACATTTCAATGATTGTTTTTTTCAGTGCTTTCAAATGCTATTTGCCACCCAAACTTTTTTTTTTTGATTATTATTTTCTTATTTATATTTATTTTTGTTTTATTCATATTTATTATTTTATATTTATTTTTGTTTTATTTATATTTATTATTTTATTTATATTTATTTTTTTATTTATATTTATTTTTTGTATTTATTATTATTATTTTCATATTATTGCCTAGGAAAAAGAGTTCTACGTCATGTCGTGTGATACTGTTCAGTTAAATATTTTGATGCGTTCAGAGACTAATTAAATTAGAAACTTAAAAGTGGGCCGGACTAACCTGGTTGGCAGGTTCTTGGGCCTATGTCCTAGAGGTCGTTAATTCGATTCCCTCCGGCTGAAGTTTCTCCGTGTAGTAAATGGTGACAGGTGCACTTTAAGTATATTGGGTCACAAAATCCCCCAAGGTCCCATAACAATTCAATACCTTTGGAGGCACTGAATTGGAGATTGATCGTTCTCTTGTTCAGGTCAAAATTATGATCTGTGGGCGTAAAATTGGTCCGCTCTGTAAAACGGGATGTGACGTGTGTGTGTGACTTAAAGTCGTGTTCTTGGCCATAGATGGCGGCACTGGCAAACAAGAAGCGCATCCTCCTTCTTAAATTCGTTTGGTTTAACCAAGCAGGCTTTCTGGTATTGGTAAGTGGCATTAGAAACAACAACAGAAATTTAATAGTATTTTTTTAACGTTTAATTCTTTATTGCATAGAACTTTCAAAGTGTCTAAATTATAATCTTTTTATCTCTTTATTTACATTTTTTCATCTTCCTTTTCTGTTAACTTTGTCTACAGAATTAGTCTTCGTACAGAGCTTTTAAATGTATTTTTTTGCCACTTTTGACCGAAGCAAATTTAAGGATTAATTTTTATTTGTTAATCAAAAATGTGCTAGGTAGCGAAGCTGTATTTTTTATGAACGAAGCGAGTAATTTTTGCAAAGAAAACTTTTTTTTTTCAGTTTAATTACCTTTTTGGAGGTCGGGGAGTATCAGCGAGTCGGGGTTGGAGTTCCTTTGCATTTTTATAACTTTTGTTTTAAAAAGATATTTCTATATCTTGACTAGTGTTTCTTTGTGCTTATACTAGTAATAGCAAGTAATATAAAAATTAATAGCAAGTAAAAAAAAGAAGTTACACTCCGTATAAAAATTATTAAACTGATGGCTATTACGAAAGTACTTTCTGTTTTGAAACAAAAGAAAAACTTATCAGTAAAAAGACAGATAAGATAACTAATTATTTCAAACAGATTTTTTTTAATGAAAAAATCATTCTTTCTACAAAATAAAACGAAACCAGCTGTTCTTCGAACAATGAGGTTTCATTCTAAATCTTTTTTCCTGCTATGTCATCATTATTAGCATTAAAATTGATAAATATCTATTTATTTGACACATTTCACTTTTAAACCATTCTTCAATCTTCTGCATAAAAATAAAAAGTTCTTTTTCTTTACATAATTTTTATCTATATATAACGTGTTTGATATTTTGGAAGTTTATAATTTAGTCACATTTGAAGGAAATAAGTAAGTGATTTGTTTCGAACTCTTGATTTTATTTCTTTAAACTCTCTTTTCCTAAACTCTACCTTTTCCTAGTTTCTGTTATAAAATGAATTTTTAGGATTTATTTAATGTCTAAATAAGGAATATTTGAGAATAAACTAAACTCTTTTTTGAAAAGCTAATAGATTTAAAAATTATGTTCTGCTATCAAAAATTTGTTAAAAACAAAATTGAGATATGTTAAAAATGTATCCAAAACAGAAAGGATGAGTATAGAGGACACTTCTGTTTTATTTATTTATTTATGTTAGAGAATTTGCTGATGAAAGAACCGATTTTTGTAAATATGATAATTAATATTCAATTTATTTTAGTAAGAAACAAAAATGAAGCTTCTTCTATTCGTTGCGTTTGCTTACGTTTTAGCTGTTGTGAATGCCGAAAGTTGTAGTGAACACCGTGCAGAAGCAGAGAAACAAAGTAAGAAACATTAATTGCTAACTGAAGTGTAACTTTTTCCAAAAACTACTTATTTGATATCTACTGTGAATGGAAAAAATCTATTTCTTGTATACATTCCAACTTATTTTATTTTATTATTAAATGATCATTATTATTGCTTTACAACTTACCATCTGTTTGCTTGACTGGGATAGCCTGGTTGGCAGTTCGTTGAGCCCATGCCCAAGAGGTTGTGAATAAAATCCCCGTCGACTTGAATCTCGTAGTAAGTGGTGATTGGTACACGTTAAATCTGTCGGGTTACAAAGTCCTCAAATTTTCATACAAAATCAATACCTCTGAGGGTACTGGACTGAAGATTGATCGTGCTCTGGCTCAGGGAAAAATTTAGACCTGTGGATGAATAAATGAAGTATGATTTGGCCCTCCCTGTAAAACGGGTTGTGACGTGCGTGTAGCTGAAGTCGTATTCTTGGCCATCGATAGTGCCACTGATAAAACAAGCAATGCACCCTCTACTTTAAAATAGTCTTGTAAGTATTGACAAGTGGTATAAGTCAACGATAGCATGCTTGCTTCTGAAATAAATTTTCTACATAATTTTAAAGAGCTTCTGCAAACAGTCAAGCACTCTTAATCGGAAGGTGTAAGTAAATATTTAACAATTGTATATTTTCCGTTTGTATATTTGTTTTTAAGAAATGTCTATAGAACACGTTCAGGGGTTGGGCAAAATTATGGAAGCACTTCTATAATAAAACATTTTTTAAAATTTCTCAAGAAATACTAAGAGACTAGCTTCAGAAGTGTTTAAGTCAAGCAATTTCTCATACATATCAATGGAGATTAAAACTTTTAGAGATTCGAGACTTGTAATAAATAATGGATAATAAAAAAAATATTGTTTTCAAACACACTGTGCCAAAAAATATAGCAATGACCTTATAACTTGTATGAATTACTTTGATTAACATATGCAATAGTAGCACAACATTTCGTAAACCTAGCTTAACTACTAATGGAGATGCATACATTTTTATAAAAAGCTTATGTTTTTACCTAGAGTTTTTTTTTAATATAATTGCGGAAATATTCAATAAAATTAAACAAAATTTTTAATTAATAACAAAAATATTGTTTTGAACTTAAATAATTCATTAAAATTGAGCAAGGCATCAGCAGTTGAAATTATCCTATCGAAATGCGATGCGCGGAAAACGTTTTAAAAAAAAATCATAATTTTGATCTAAATCGTATTAGGTAACCTATGAAAAAAAAATCCCGATTTGAGTATCTTAAAAATTTAAAATGCTTCTAGTAATTTTCTCAGCATTTTGTACATAGTGGAAAACCCAAAACAGGGCCTTTCTTACAAATTTCATTTTGTATTTTATAACAAATGATAATACACTTCAATGATGGTTCGAACAACGAAATTTAATGGCATAAAAAAAGGAAACGTGTGAAATAATAAAATATACTTTAATACAGGATGGTCCTATATAATGCCGATGTCAGTTTTAATAAATTTTGTTTAATGGTACAAAACATAATTTGTGAAAAATCCCTTACCATTCACAGCTTTCTTTCCAAATTTACAAAAATCTACTTGGAAAATTGCAAGAAATTTTTTTAAGTTTTCAAGAAATTCAAATTTCAGTTTTTTCGTTAATCACCAAATACGATTCGAAACAAAATCATTGAAGAATTTTTTTTTTTGAATTTTTTCGCTGGCATGCTCAGTATAAAAAAATTACTTTAAACTAGGAGGCTCCGCCCCCTGCTCGCTAACGCTCGCCAACCCCCGAGAATTGCTACGCAATCCTATGTGGTTCACGCCGTGAACCATGGCTCGCTGCGCTCGCTCGCCAATGAACACAATGTTCTAGCACAAAGACATAATATATTATCATCAAAGACATAGTATTTTATCATCAAAGACATAGTATTGTACTTATGTAGAAGAATTCTACCAATGTTCTTATTGGCTTTTAAAAAAGTATATTAGCTATTTAGATTGTACATGGTGAAAAAATCAAAACATTAGCTAAATAAGAAACATATTAGCAAAATAAATTATCAAATATTGCTTCACTAATATTCTGCATTTTAAAGCGTGAAAATTCAATGCATAAATAAACGCGAAATATAAAAAAATTCAATGCATTCAATACAAACACTTAAACGTTTTTTAGACGTTTAGGTAGCTCCCAGTAGAAAAATATCAATTCAACAGCGGCCTTTTAAAGCATTCTCACTTCAATTAATTAATTAATTCCTAATTGAGTTTAAATTAAATATTGTCATGTTTTTAGTGCATGAATCTGAATTGAACAACCTGATAATGCTCACTCTGGTTATTGTTATCTGGTTGCTCACTACGTGCTCTTGCGCGCCGAATCCAATCAATTAAAAATGAAAACTGTTGCCATCGCGAGAAAGAAATATCATCGGTTTTATTGATACATACATACGTACGTATTAGCGTTTTATATAATATAGATGCTCATATCTTGCGCAATTTTAAATGATTTTTTTTCACATTTTAAAATAATATTTGTGTTGTTAATTGAAAATAGCTCGAAAATTTTTGTTCAATTTTATAATATTTCTGCAGTTATAGTAAGAATACTTAAGGTACTTTTTTTTCAGTTGAAAAGGGTCTTCAAGACGTTCCTGTTCCTTCGTGTAACGAAGATGGCACGTACGCTCCTCAGCAATATGGAAGCTTTGGAGAATGCTATTGTGTAGATCCCAATGGAAATAGAGTGGGCAAAGAGTGCCCTTGCAGTTAAATTATTTGATTGATGTATAATGTACTGTGATATTTTATAACCAGACAAAAAATAAATATTGAAATTCCATTCTGAATATGCTTTGTTTCTGTTGGATAGACACGTACATTTTGTTTTGTGTCAACATTTTATCTTAGCCCTAATGTATTTTTGAATATTTACAAACAGAAATTTTCTCTACGTAATAAACAAAAATTCTATTAAATATATGCCTCATGCGAGTCTTTCTATATTAACAGATAAGCTGTTTAAAACAGATGTTTCTTATCAAGTTTACGATATAGAAATCGGTCTCTCACAAAGAGTCATAAAAAGTCAAGATAAACCAGATAAAAGATTATTTTCTGAAGTTAATAGGCAATAATTCGTACATGAAGAACGATTAAGATAGTCCCGAAAACTTCACAGCCGCAGAATGGCGCCATCTCTTTAGAGAATCAAAATCTCTAAATTTTATCAATTTTATATATACAGAGATAGATAGATAGATAGATAAATATCTTTTAAAGCATATTCGAATGAACATCGAAACTGAAAAGAAAAGATAAACAGTAAACTTTTTTTAAAAAAAACTAGATCTTTTAATTCTCCCATGATATTTTTTCAGCATTCATACAACTAATCTTATAGTTACGCAATACAGATAGGATTTTTTTAAATCCCATTTATTGTTTTTGATGATCTAAATGTTAATCCCTGAATACAAAGCACCCCGATTTTAAGATTAAAAGTTCCGATTTTTTGTTTAAAAGTATTTTTTTTTAAATTATGTACAACGGAAACTGCATTCATAATTGAAGCTGTTGAATTTCATTTTTATTTCATAACTAGCGTTGAACAGCTGAACCAATTCTGAGTTCACAGCTATCAATGTTCGTAGCCTAGTATACTTGAATCGAACCCAGAAGACAAAGAATTCCTGAATCAAGAATTGGGGCAAACTAGCCTTCGTGGAGGATTTATTTATTTATTTATTTTTTGATGGAATTAACCTACATTTGTGTCACGTGAAGAGGAAAACCACGAAAACCTTTCTTGGTAAGCCCGGCGGCTAGTGGATTCTTACACATGATCCGTCTACCACTACCACTGAGGATATTTTACATCAGCACTGTGGTCGGTGCAAGCCTCCTCTGATATCCGAGCCTGGATCATCTCATCGGGAGGCTCTACCTCCATCGGGAGGCTCTACCTCTATCGGGAGGTTCTACCTCTATATTCTTTGGCTCTACCTCCTGAGTCATTGCTACTCTGCTGTTAATTTTCGAAGCAAATCGGATTAAACTTAATAGCATTGCAACACGTTTTTCACTATAGCTATTTATATATTTGACAATACTCGGTACCTGGATGAAAACAATTCTGTACACGATTTTCAAAATTCATTGTGTCATAATATATAATTAAAACGATATTCATGTTTTTTTTTTTTTAATTTTTAGATCGTACTCCTCTGTATTGTGATATAGTGACTAATTTTAACGCTTTCCTACACTTTAGACAATTTTAAATCATTCCATCATAGCAATTTTTTACTCTCTGAATCTTATCTAAACAAATATTTTAATTGAGTGCAAATATAGGGAATCGAAGAATAACTAAAAGAACTTTTGATAACTTGCGGAAACAAAATACAAGGAATGAATTAAAAAATATATTTCTTTAAAAAAAACTGTATAATGAATGGAGTATTGTTCTGAAAATTAATTAAATACGAATAAATAAATTACGAAGGAGAAATATTAATACTAGTGTTTTTTTCCCGATAATATTATAAAAACATTTCCTTTATCAGTGTAAATCATTTGCGTCATATTAATTTTTTTCCAAAGATCAAATATCTCTGAATACATATTATAAATATCATAAGAAAATAAATCATAAAAATATAAATGACTATTCATAATACAGTACTCTCGATTTACAAGGAAGGTAGGGAAATGTTTTGTCTCGGAAAATTAAATATTTCAGATTTTACAAATTTGATTCAAAAATTTTTTTTTAAAACAATAATAATTTATATACAATAGATATTTAATTGCATTATTACTAAAGGAAGAAAAAATACATAATTTGAACAAGAAAAGAAATACAGTATACCTTAGGATATATTATTATTTTTTTTTTATGTATAGGAGCTGTTTTGAATAATACAGGACGGGTACCGATTGTTATGTTATTTTCTTCTTATAAAACCAG